CGCGAAAAAAAAACGAAAGTAAGCCTATTTGTCTTTCTAAACTATCTTCCTCATCTATGCGTAATATTATCGAGATCCGTTCACCTGTGTAAACATTCATCCATCCAAACTTTCGCATTTATAATGTTAGTAAGATTGGAAAAAAAATACTTTTTATGAAAATGTGTCACAAAAACGAGAAAAGTCGTATTCGTCGTATTCTGGCAATTCAGTTGTAAATTTTAAATATTTCAAACAATGTACTCAAAAGTGAACAAAAGCTTTCTTTTCATTATTTGATTTCCCGAGCGCTTGTGTGTTTGTCCTATGAGTAGTGCTAAAGCCCGTTTTCCGCTGAAAAAAGCCAGCGGGCTTCAATGTATGTCTGTTGATATAATTCATGTATTATCATATAATAGTGTATTATTATTATGACTAACGCAAAAAGGAAAAATCGTTAAATATAACTTAACAATCTACTTTGACCTATAACCTCAATATCAACATCGGCACATTGATTATTTATGAGTGTACAGACATAAAAATGATATATTATATATTTAATGCATATAAACGATGTTTCATTTACATGCATTGCATTGTGATGAGATGTTCGTAAATTCCATTCACACGTATCTAGAAATTACGATAAAAGAAAACTTTAACAATAGTAGAGGATATCCCCTACTATTGGCTTTTGTCATTTGTCCATAAATAGACAAAGTTATAGCCCAATTAGTGACTACAGTTATATGCAAGTTGAACAACTAATGTTTGAAAGTCGATATAAACACCAACACGCTATGTACCAATCGATTTGGTAATGGTTTCCGTGAATGCTGTCCTAGACGGATAGTTGCATTGTTGGATTGCACCATCCGGTCATTATGCATTTCTTGACGTATAATTTGCCATCAATTTATCACTTTATTGCTTAGGAAATTATAAACAAAGTTATTTATGGTAAAAGGCAAAGTAACCATAGGTTCTTCGAATAATTGACAAACGTTGCCATTAACAGGCGGCATTGCTAGTGATATTGTCGCTGCAATAATTAAGTGTACATTAAAGAAACTTAGGGCATGTCCCACCAAATTGTAAATTGATAACAATCCAATACGTATAATATATGATGAAAATATCGAATTTTGTTCCCTTATCTGACAGCGACATTTTGAAGCTATCTAAACCTATATCAGCCAGTGTTGGGACAAGCTCTTAGTATGATTAACATCGCCAATACAATAATATACAACAAATGCTTGGCGAATGTTTTTTTTCTCGAAACGCCTATTTTCGCTTGATTACTCAGAATTATAACCGTATTGTATCTATCTATACAGTCGACGTAATAAATTGAAAACACTTCCAAAATATGATATCATCTGCCCTAAATTCGTAAAAGTTAATAAATTCAAATATAATCAACGCACGTCATTATAATGTTGAAACTCGCTCGAGATCTCGCAATCTTAGCAAACATTTGCAAGAGATAACGTATACATCTACTAAGTCTACCATAATCCTTATTCGTTACAATTTCGTGATTATTACTTAAGAGATTCTTGTTATAAACGTATATACTCGTAAGGGCGCAATACTAGTCGAAATTAGAGCATTACGAGCTGTCGCCTGCGACTTCGCCCGCGTGGTATTCGAAAACATACAAAATTACAAAAAGCTAGGTATCCCTCCGGAACCGGACATTTCTCGGGGATGAAGCTTGTCCCATGTGTACTCCAGACTTTTTTTTATAACTGTGCCAAGTTTCAATAAGATATGTTGAACCGTTGCAGAATGATCGAGTAAACATTAAAAAACTAAATTAATGAATCCCACGGGAACCGTAACTATTCCCGGGATAAAAAGTAGCCTTTGTGTTCTTCCATACTATGTTCTAAACCTGTGCCAAATTTCATGGAGATCCGTTCAGCCGTTTAGGCTACAAACGCTAACAAACATCCATCCATCCATCCATCTATCCATCCATCCATCTAAACTTTCGCATTTATGATATTAGTAAGATTAGTAAGATACAGCAGGGAAGTCCCTGCACACGGGCTAACGACTAATGAAAACGAACGGTTGATGCTAAGCAAACGTTGTACGGGGACTCAGTTTAAGTATAACTATCATCACCAGCTCACTATACGTCCCCACCGAGAGGTTCGGAGCCTACCCTAAGTTAGGGTGACTAAGCCATAGTTAACCATGCTGGCCAAGTGCGGGTTGGTTGACTTCACACATCTTTGAATTTCTTCGCCGATATATGCAAGTCATATTGGTAGATGAAGGGATTCGAACCCAAAACCTGTAGATTACAAGTCAAGTGCTTAAACCACCGAGCCACCGACGCTCATAAATCTCATCAATGTAATGCGCATTAAAAAAAAGGCTATCCAACGCATGCCCTGAAAATCAGTCAAAACACGCGGGCGCTACCGACTAGTAAAAACAGTTTTATTAGAAAACGTACTTGCATGCGTTTTTTAAATAAATGTTGATTTAACATAGAAAGGGAAAATCACAAAAGTGTTTATACGAAAGCAAACGTATTTTTTGTCATAAATTTCAACGTATGAGTAAACAAAATAAAATTCACAGACACAGTATTTGTCACACGGCTGTCATGTATGATGACAAATGTTAGCTAATTTAATACGGCATGCATCGCAGCTACAAATCTCAGATAGAGTGGAATATAATGATTCCTATTATCTTAAATCATACACGGTGCTTTGACTTTTGTAACAATAGGTAATGTATGCGTTAACGCGTTCGTGAGTTCCAACTGAAGGTTTTTTTTTTATAATATAAGGTGGCAAACGAGCAAGCGGCCACCTGAATCCACCAAATGGAAAGCAACCACTGCCCATAGACATCCGCAATTGCAGATGTGTTGCCTACCCTTAATTGACGGAGGAGGAGTCGCCCATAAAGAGGATATTTCCCCTTCCTAAGCGTCTCCTCCACCGTCAAATCCACTTTTTCTTCCCATCCTTTCCTCTTAAGAAAAAGGTGGAAAGGGAAAAGGACTAAATTTAGGCCTCCGGCACCACACTCATCAGACGAAACGCGGAATTCTGTGTGGTCGTGGTATTACACCGGGCGAGCCGGCCCATTCGTGCGATGATGTTAAAGCGGGCTCTACCACTATATTTTTACATATTCACAATTAATCAATTAACAAGTACGATAACCATTTTAATTGAAATGAAAGATAATTGAGAGCGGCCGTGACAAAGGATGCAGAGTCTAGGGCAGGGAAATTAATTGACTTTTAATTAGGACATTGAGTCATGTTCTTTATGGCTTCGTTGTTCTACATTGTTCCCTCGTTACAGTTGTCCGGTCTCGGGTAGAGTAGGCATTTCGCAACTACTATACGAGTATCTCGTGTTACTGTTGTTAATAAAAGGTAACTGAATTATAAGTGCCAGGCGGCATTTTCCTGTCCATTGTCTTCCAAATTCAAACACACTTGGAAGGTCTCCAATAAGATTTAACAAATAAATAAAATAAAACAGGCTGTATAGATTAAAAAAAAATATTATTGCTGATTAGAAAGGACAAAAGGCAATACCCTATGCTAAAGTTCTTTTGACATTTACATTTTCGATTCGTTCACTTACATCTGCGGTTTTGAACCGCAAGCATCCGATAGTTGCAACATTGTGGTTTTAAAATGTCACCGCATTATGTCTAGCGATGCGCTAATAATAAGGGCCAGTTTAAACTAGCGACATCAATATTTCTGTTCAATATTATTAAGATTTTTTGCTTTCTATGTTAAAGATTGAACCATTTATTTATAAGCCTTTGCTTAGATTTAATTTATTTGCATAGGATTATGAAATCAAAAGTAGGTATCGAAAAATGTAAATATTTTGCTAGTCAGAAGCAACCCTAAGTGATGGCAGAAATGTTCTTCCTTTCAACGTACACCAGTCTAAAAGCTCTTCATGAACATTCTGCGTGTTTCAACCCTAAGCAATGTGAGCGTGCTAGTCGGTGACGGGACGTAACTATCACGCTAATGTCAAGGACTGAGCTACGTGACGCTCTAACACGTTCTCCGTTCCGTTTCAAAAATGCATTGTCTCATTTAATATTTTGGATATTTTTAATGACACTATTTGAATGTATTGACAAATAGGTCAAGATTACATTGTTCATATTCATATTTATGTATACCATTAAAATATATGATCAAATAGTTTTTAATGGATTGTGTCTAATGTCAGACCTGAAAGTCGTATCTGTTAAAAGATTTTTACGAGGTCCTTTGTTTATGAGTGGATTTCCAAAGACTAAAGATACACAAACATGAAGTTAAATTCGTCTTTTATAATCAATTTTACATCATAAACTTTAATGGAATATCCCCATTAAGATGGAATTCAAATGTACCATTAAATTGGAATCAAATTTAAATCTAGCTTTACCTTTTGGTATTTGACGAAATCTAAGCTGAATTACAAAACAATAAAGGTCAAATTTCATTACATTTAATGTACATTTGATAGTCTAATCCTAAAATGATTTTATTACATCTTGATTTGTATTTATAATTTTTTTTAAATGGCTTAGAAACAGATTCATGAGGTAATAATTTGTTTTTTTCTTTTTAAATGTGAATAATAGGTAATAATATAAACTGGCTTAATAAAAAGGTTTTTGAATAAATCAGCCGTAACTTGTAAAACAGAGGGTCCATTTTTACATACCAAGAGGAAAGATTCGAAGCGTTTGCTCAATAGAAATATGGTCGTTGAAATAGATAAGCCCTAAGAGAAACAGGAAATCCTAAAATTCCTATAGAAAATTGCTTAAGAATAAAAGAGGTTGCAATTTGCAATTTTGCATTATCTACTGTACATTGTAATTTTTTTAAAAGATATCGATTACTTTCGTTCGTAGCATATTCGATTGTTGATGCACAGTTTGATAAATCAATGTAAAGTTTTAAGATCTTGAATTATTTTTGATAATGATGTTTTTCAAGGACATATGTTCATCGACCGTCGACTTTCAAATGGACTTGAAGAATTCATTTTGAAATAAATATTATATAGCATTATTGCCTTTTATTAAAAAAATCTTTTAATTATAGATGTTTTGAGAACTTTACAACACTCTTGTTAAGGGTCTTATATTTTTATAGCAATCTTAAACCCATAATTGAAAATAAATTTTTAACTGTCTCTAATATTGTCAGTTTATTTTATTTATCAAAAAACCTAATAGAATTGCATAGTTGCAATTTTTCCACGGTACAGTCGGTTGCGATGAGCCCGCGCACCTCGACCAAGGTAAATTGCAAAAGCGATTTACTTTGAAAGTAACTTGCCTCATGTAGCGGCAACAGATACCAAGATGCATTCGATAGAGACGTACAAAATATAAGCGCCAAGCGTATTTCAAAATCAATTTATGTTTTAAATTTTAATCGCAATTAAATGTTCATCTCTAACAGAATTACAAAAATTTCAGTCCAAACTGTCAGAGCTACAATAAATAATTTATATTTTGCATATTTTTTATAACAACATACTGATTTAAGAAACACAAAATCTGTCTTTTAGTATTGTAGATTATTAGTTAGTAATTAAAATATTGAAATAACTTACTTATTGTCATATAATAAATGTATTTAATACAGTTGTAAACTAATCTGTATCTATGACGAACTATGTATGTTAAACCATAGAAGTAACGTAAACGTAACATCTAAACGCGTCTATCCGCTATCGCTTATAACTTAAATCGTTACGTGGTCAAAGTGAACGGAAGATACGATATTACGCAAATCGGATCATCGATGCTGTACCCTCGGCCGGTGCTTTACACAACCAACATTAACTTTATTGCAGACAAGAACGCCTATATAATAATAATTTATATCGGTCACTTGTTGCGATCTTAGGTAAGCGTTACCTAACTATAATCTGTTTGTTTTACCTTCTTTCTCACGTTGTTATGCTCTCTGATTGTGTCATAATTATTTTAAAAAATGAATGTACCAATGAATGTTCCATATTGCCATACTTAGAATATTACTAAATACTGTCGGCAATCTCAGTAGAAATAAATTTAAACACTTCGCTATTTAAGGGCTGCTTACAGACAACAAAATTTTAATGGAGTTAAGAGTTAAGGCGTGGCTTTATCATTTACGTTGTTATTTAAATGTCGATTATGATTCAATATTCGTCCGTTCGTTAAGAGATTTTTTGAGGATATCCAAAATAATACTGCTATACTTTAGCAGGTGGACAAATTCAAAAATTGTTTTAATTAAGTTGAAATTGGCCTTGTCATGTTCGGCCTTGGTCATGGTCGCTTTGTGCCATGTCGATTCATTGCCAGTTACGGTGGTTGCCTGTCTGTTATTAGGGTTGTGCCAAACACAGTTTTTGTTAATAGATCTATTCTCATTCGACTCAACCCCTCTTTGATACATTTCTCTCAACCGTTATATCTGAATTCATTCCCTTATTCATGTATTTAACCAAATGGCTAAGTCCATATGCGTTATATTTTACTAGTTGACCTCGACCCTGACGCTTAAGGAAAACGTTGGACATCAAAATAAACAACTCACTTTGACTGACGTGTCATTTTCTGGATGTATTTTAATGTTAATCGATTGACTAGATTGTAACAATTGGGCTGTTAAAAGGTAGGTAGGTAGATTAATTGGTGTACAAATGTCGATTTTGACATAATTCCGAACCTTGACCAACTATTACTTGCATCTAAATATGCCAATTTGAGATCGAAAGGTATTCGAATGTAAGGTCACGTGGATCTTATTTGACTTTGACTATTTTGTGATTGTTGGAAATACGAGACGAGAGTGAAGGGATGTTATCGGATATCATTATTATTAGTTACATAAAATAGAATTACATTAACTAAATTCTAAGAGCGGGTCTTTGACTAAACTGTTATGCGATTGTCGATTGTTTCGCAGTTAATTCAATTGTTTATTTGCAGAACTAAAAAAAACATACAGACAAATTGAGTATCTTCTTCTTTTGAGAAGCTTATAGGATATATAAGCTTTCATATAAGCTTATAGGAATCAAAGCGAGACTATACAGTTGTATGATAGTTTAGTCAAAGATGTGCGCGCTCTAATGTTTCGAATGTCAATCTCAAGTCATGTGGACGTTTCTATTAGTAATCGGCACACGTAAAAAACGGACGAATTCCTATGTGTATCAAACAATCTATTCACTAGTATTGTTTAGAATTAAAATAATTTGGGCGCAACTTCTAAATCAATGCTAATCAAATAATTACGATTCAACAATGTATTAACGATACTTGCCGGATGTTGTTTAAGGTTGCAACCTACATCGCCTTAAATTAAGCTTCATTTTGAACTCAATTATCGGAAATTCATTATTTTTAATAACTATTTCAGTGCTAGAAACACGCATCATTTTTTTGTTTATGAACGCGAGACGAATCGGTACTGAAGGAATAAGATATAATAACTCAACCATTCATCTTAAATCATACTTTATGCAAATGTTGTTAATGCGAAAGTTTTGAGGGATGGATGGTTGTTAGAGTTTGTAGCCTAAACGGCTGAACGGATTTCGATGAAATTTGGTATGGATGTAGAGAATAGTCTAGAAGGACACGTAAGCTACTTAGTTTTAAGATAGAAAACTACATTAGTTAGAACGATAATCCGGGCAGCATTTATGTAAGGATGCGTTACGTAATGTCAGTGTTCCTATTCCCATATAACCACTGAGGGCAGATGACCTAATGAACCCAGAAGTAACCTCCTCCTTCATTCCAACGGTCGTTTATTACCGGGTTATTTAGATTATACCTAGTCTCCTTTCTATTTATCTGTTTATTCTTTGTTAACTTGTCATTATTATTGTTTTTTTACTTATTGCCATTATTTCTTTTTTCCTCATTGTTTTTATATCCAGTAATAATTCAAGAAGACACTGACCTTTAACAATTCACTTAAGATATAAATTCATTCGAGATAAAGCGAAAATTCGACGACATTGTTAATTAATTGACACATGTTTTATTTTATTGTTGTATGTTTTCTTTTGTGTTAAAACTTTGAAATCAATGGAATATTCCAGATATACATAACAAGAAACTTAAATAAAGATACGTACGATTTTTGTAATATTAACCCTGGGCTGTATTCTCATATCTATTTCCTTAACCATGGTAACAGTCTTTCAAAGATCGCTGATAAAAATCCCACCAAAGAATAATGTTAATTTGGTCCCTAATCTGTTCTTTACTTTACCTTCTAGGATCGAAGTAGGGTGGTGTGTCCAGTGATTGACGTCATCAGCATGGACACGTTCCAGTACATCGGCGCGTCTGCCGACCTTCGCGGCGGCTTCGACTGGAACCTGGTCTTCAAGGTGAACCACTGACCTTTACAAAACTGCCATTCGACTCGTCCAGAAGTTTTATTACACTAATTACTTTTCGTCACCTTAGCAACGGTGATATTTTTATTTTGTCAGCGATTTCGATTCAGATCATATTATTATTTTACACAAGCTGTTGCCAGCGACTTCGTCCATGCAATATTAAGATTAAAGTAGCCTGTACTATGCCCGTATATGTCAGCTACCCTTGAGGTAGTCAGGTCGGAATCGGCCAGGCCGTTTCCGAGATTACCTGGAACAAACACAGCTTGCTTACAGACAGACAGACAGACAAACAAAAAAAAAGTGATTTTGGTTATCAGCAACGCAAATACATCATATTCCCGAAATCTAATTTTTTTCTTTTGATAACACGGACACTCCAATTTTATTACATGTATACATAGATAGTTCACTTGTTTTTTAATTCATTACAATATCTGATATCTGATATTTTTACCCGATTAATTCAAGACACACCTCGGACTATATCAATCCCTTTATGATCTCGTGGCCTAAACAACTGCACTAATTTTTTTAAAAAAATGTCATTTTTTATTTAATCTACAGTGGGAATATCTATCGCATGCTGAGCGCAGCGCCCGCTTGAGCGATCCCACGCAAGTGATCCGCACGCCCATGATCGCCGGCGGCCTCTTCAGTATGGACAGGCAGTACTTCAATAAACTGGGAAAGTACGACATGAAGATGGACGTCTGGGGCGGCGAGAACCTCGAAATATCTTTCAGGTAAGTTTTACTAAGTTATAGACCTAAGCTTCAAAGTCGTTTTAAACTTCTGGTATACTATAATTTATCTAATAACATTTTTTTTGTATTCTTGACATAACCTTGTGTTTCTTCTGAATGTGGTTAAAAGGACAATAAGATGTGTTCCATAGGAACATGGTTTAAATAATTTCTTGAAGCTGCTTATATTTTAGTTACTTTATACAAATTGTCTTGAAGAATGCAGCCAAATGAGCACGTTTCTTTTGATCAAAGAGTACGTCAGTGTTGCCATAAACAAAAGGTACAAATGGTAGATTAAAAATATAGGTAAAACATTAATATTTTGTCCAGTGTAAAAACATATTTATCTGATCCGCGAAAACAGATTTCATAGAAACAAGACTTTCAATAGTTGCAAGTACAAAGGTAGTAAACTTTTTAAATACCTAAAATCACAAATCTGATTCACCTTTTTAAACTTTCCAGAGTATGGCAGTGCGGTGGGTCGTTAGAGATCGTTCCCTGTTCCCGAGTGGGTCACGTGTTCCGCAAGCGACATCCCTACACGTTTCCCGGCGGGTCTGGTGCGGTGTTCGCGAGGAACACGCGCCGCGCCGCAGAGGTCTGGATGGATGATTACAAAGAACTGTACTATAGATCACAGCCTCTGGCAAAGCAAGTCGATTTTGGAGAGTAAGTACTAAGAATTTCACTATCAATGTAAATTGAACTGTAACGGTGATACTAGGGTTGAGAATTTCTTAAGATTTGATAAATTGTCTCACGAATACTGATGTTATAAAGAGGAAAGATTTGTATTTTTGGACTTTTGTATATATTAAAATAACTCAAAAACTACTAGACCGATTTCAAAAATTCTTTCACCATTAAACAGCTACGTTATAAGTGAATAAATGAGTAACATAGACAATGTTTTATTATTTTTTAATTTTACACAGGCAAAGTCGCTAGCAGCTAGTACTGAATATAGGAAAGAATGACTGCATTATTTTTCAACTAATCCGACTTCTATAATCAGATTCATTAAATTCAGATCATTGGATTAATCTTTATTAATTCAACTTTGATTGTAATGTCTACGTTTCAGATATAATCATGAGTTCTTTCTCTTTTATAGTATCTCTGAGCGCGTACGTCTCCGCGAGAAACTGCACTGCAAGCCATTCCGCTGGTATCTAAAGAAAGTGTACCCTGAACTGCAAGTGCCGACGCTCGAGACCTCGGACAACACGCACGTCATCCGTCAAGGCCCGCGCTGTCTCGACACTATGGGACATCTAGTAGACGGCACTCTCGGTAAGTGATATTAAAGTAATTTTAACCCTTATAGTTATAACCTAGAAAGAGATGGATGGATTGCGTGAAAGGTGACATGATCAAGAAGGGAGTGATGACTGAGATGACGGATGATAGAATGCTTTGGAGGACGAAAACCCGGTGCGCCGACCCTACGGGAGTAGGATAAGGTAGGGGAGATGATGATGATAGTGGCCAGTGTGACAAAAATAAAAAAAATCTACTAAACTATTTTAGAAAAAATACGTGAGATTTTGATTTAAATTTGTTGGTAATAATTCCATAATCATTCCCTAGGCATGTATCCCTGCCATAATTCTGGCGGTAATCAGGAGTGGCGTTTCGATAACGGTCTGATACGCCACCATAGTCTGTGCATCTCGCTGTCAGCCGAGGACCGTGTGACGGCAGTACTTGCCGCATGCGACGCCACAGACGACGCCCAAATGTGGCGACGCCAAGGAGAAATCATCCGTCACGCCAAACTAGACGCCTGTCTTGATGCAAGCAGACCCGCGCTGTACATAGACCAGTGTGACCAATATAAAGTCAGCCAGCAGTTTTCCTTTTAATTACGTTTGTGACTTGCTGACGCTTAATAACTCTGATGCGAGTTTTGTAACAGGGTATTTTTTTCATTTTCACACATTAATTTGCAGTGTTTTAAATGTAAAAAAAAAAAAATTCTACACTAAAAACGTACTTAATGAAAATAATGTGACTTACGGCGGTATTAGTTTTAAATGCCACGCTGTAATTGCAAATTTTATTATGATGTGTCAGATTACAAACAGCTTATGGAACGAAGTATTTTACGATTCGTTTCAGTATTTGGCCGTTAGTGTCCATATTATGCAGCTAGAAAGAAATCAGTCCGTCAATTTGATGTACTCAACATCAAAGCTTAATCAGACATTATCTAATGTTCATTTAGCTACTCTTATAACCTAGATCGAGTATTAAAATACACAAAGTCAAGGAAAGTGGTCAAAAATCATGCATTTTACAGCGTCATAAACATGTACTATCATAAAAATTCATAGAAATACAGACAAGATATTATTCGGAATCTTGTGTCATTAAAAAGTATGATTTAAAAAACAATTTTAGATTTATTTTTTAATTAAACAACAAAAAGACATTTAAATGCTCGAGCTTATTGTGAATATTATGTGAATTGTTTTCTTTATAACTTAATGCGTTGATATAAAAATAACAATTCCAGTTTAGGTATTGTCAAAATTCATAAATTTATAATATTTAATTCAATACGTTTCTCTATTGGCATATGTAAACGATTTCGATTTAAAGTTGGCTTTATTCATCAAAAATTAATTAATTTAAAGTCTAAATTTTATTTGGAAAGTACTTTAAAATGTTCCGATTGAAAAATAACATAAATGTTGGTCTTATTTGATTTGTTTATAAATTGATTTACGATTTAATACAAAAGTAAGGAAAAAAATTGAAATGTCTTAGGTGTAAGTGTAAAACAATTCTATTCTAGAAATTTATCTTGTAATGTCGAACTTAGAGATTGATGTTCACTAAGGCCGTACCTTAGTGACCATTTTATAACAAGCATAGATTTAATACGAAATATCTCACTAAGATACTGCTTCAACAACTATTTTAGCATGATAGACGAATAATATTCAACAAATTACATCAAGTATTAGTATTATAAAAAGATACAGACACTAAAATACTTAAAATATAGAGCAATTGTGTTAAGTGTACATATTAGTTGAAAATTAACAAGCATGTCTTGCCCGGTAGGATGCTGTACTATCTCTCCTTTCTGTCAGAAAATATGTATAGACCTACAAGCATCTTATGCCAGTTGGCAATTTTGTGAATTAACAAAAACTAGCTGGCCCCTATCAATGTCCAAAAATGCCATAGAAAATATAATAGGAGGGCGCTAGTGAGCTACTAGAATGTAGTTTTAATAATGCTCACCGGGTTAGATATCTTGTCGGTCTATAATGGATAACAAAAAAACAATAGAAAAATAATTATAGTTACCATAGAGTGTAAATATAATTAGGTTAAAAAATGTAAGTGCCGGGAAAGTGGAATGGAGATAAATTTAGTTAAGTAAAAGTTTGTAGAAATAAAAGACGTGTTTTAAGGAGATTTCGGTTCAAATAAAATAAGTTATTGAGGAACAAAATTATTTATAATTTAGTGTGGAAACTTCTAGAAGTTTCTTTTGCATAGTGATAGCTTACTTGTACGTAAAATAAAAATAACACCCAATTATTAGTTAACAATATGCAATTTATCGAATTGTAAAATTTGCTAGTGGATTTACTATTTAAAAAGAAATACCTTCGTCTTCCGTTGCTTTTTTTGGCAGTTTTAATATCCATTGACAGTACAAATAACAAGTTATCTTTTTAAATTATTTAGACTCCTTTAGAAACTCAACATTGAATCTTTGACTATACACCATAATTTTTATATTTTTTTTGTATTGAATTTAGTTAATAGTTAATTTTCATTCTTTCTATTGAGATAATATTTAAATTTGTTCTATTGAAAACGTAAAGTATTATTACTATATTTTATGTATAATTTTAGTTTTGTACAAATTTATGTTATCGTTATTTTTTGTACATTTGGATGATGTTTAGATTTTTATAATTGTTTAACGAATTATGTTTTTATATTTTAGAATATTCTTTCATATATTATGTCTTTGTTTTTATTTCGATGATATTTTATTGGCCTTATCGTTTCATATACTTGTAGTAATAGAGCAGCTATTAATTATAGTGTGAATATAAACATATATTTGTGTTAAATACTCTATTTACTTGGAGTTATTTCTTATAGTTTTCTGTACTTCTTTTAGTTTATCATATCATATGTAAGGATAAGAATAGAGCTGCATTCCATTATTTCTAGTTTGTATATAGTGTAACTGTAGTGTCTAATACATAAGCTGTTTTGTAGAATACTTATTACATTGCCAAGATAATATATTAAGAGGATTTAAAACTAAACAAACGGCAATCTCAAATGAATTTTTTATGTTTTGTAACAGAAATAAAAAAATTACAATCAATTCAAAAAAGCACAGAGAGCACTGTATTAGAAACTAGATGTAGAACACCTTTTTGATTGATAAACTGTTCGTTTCCACTGCTTAAAACCTGTACAAAAACATAACCTCTTATTCCATTTAAAAATCCTAGATATTTGTACATCTCAGTGGAAACAAATGGTAAAAATTGGTAACACTAAAACTACTTAAGTGCTAAGCGTGACTTTCCTAGTCAGTTTTCTTTGAAAGTTGCAAACGTTAAACTTATGGAGCGTGTATGAATTTTTTTTTTATAATTTAATGTGCACCTAAAATTTTGTTAATTGGTAAAGTCATGATAAGGTTTTTGCTATTTTTTTCTTACAGGTGTAATTGAGTTTAAAAATAAAGTAAACAAGGAAATTTTCATATCATATTTGTGTTCCTAAGTTTAACAAATGGTGATTTATTTTAGTGAGACATTTTTGGTTGGTAAATAAATGAAAACGAATGCATTTATGAAGTTTTATTTTATAAAACACTGTCCTTTGTAAGAATCATTAGATACAATTCCCAAAACCTATTTGTATGTTAACTTAGTATTAATAACTTAAATGTTTTATACACTGGATAACTTACAAATAATAACATCACAGACTGGTGTCTTGCCTTTCAATTATAATTTAAAATAATGTCTACATATCTGATAGGCAATTTACTCGATGATTTTATCTTATAAAATATTTAATTAACCAATGATTCCTGGTTTTATCACATTTTTCAGAGACAGCACTTAAAAAGGCCAAAAAACAGATCGTAACAATAAGTATTTAACTTAAAGACAGTAATGTATAGTCATTTTAACAACCTTAACTTATTCTTAACAACAATGTTACAAAGTAATTATCTTATTTTTAAGGATTTTTCTTTAAATATTTTAAACAGTCAATGTAAAGTAAAGATGCATTGTTATTAAAAACTACCATGTTAACCTAATTTATAAATTTAAACTAAAAAAATTTAGTTTATTTAATTCGAGTAAAAATATATGAAATAAATAAATGTCCAGTAATACTTTTACATTTTTTCTTCGAATATATTAAAGAGACATAATTCAAGATAATTACAAGCAAAGGATATTTTACACAGTACATACAAACTTCAGTTCAAAATATTTAATTTCTATTTAAGGGTGTTATAGGCGTCTCCAGCCATTGATAAAGGGGGCAACTATCGAGGGGGCTAGCGTTCAAATTGTTTATTAATTTTAAAATAGTGTATTTAAAATCATGTGGTCTATTTTTTTAATGTTTTGCGACTAATAATTATCAATATGGATCGATAGGAATTGTAGTAACTCATATTACTATTTTACATTGATTACACATTACATGCATACATTTGTCTATGGAGGGGGATAACAGTTGCGTCATGGCGACGCCTATATTACATTCACTGCATAAATTTAGTGAGACACACTAATTTTGGTCTTAACAAATCTACCAATTACTTTAATGGCACGGAATGCGTAATTAGGCGACAGTCTCTGTCTCAGCAGGTAATATCCCACCGCGTGCATCGCGACCAGCATCACCACCAGCATGCCGATGTCCATCCAGAATGACACACCCGTCATGCCCATCAGTTTCACGAAGTAACTATAAAAAAAATAAGAAATAGTTGGTGTCATCAACTTGGTGGCATTGCGAGTGTTAAAATTTGGAATGAAAAGCAATCTCAGAGTATTGTCAATTTTCCAATGTAATAAAAGACGAGCAGAATTTTGAAAATTCAATATCATATAATCTTGGGTGTAAACTTTGCCATTTGTCAATGTGTTCCTATGGTAATAGGAAATATCGTAATGTCTACACACTATACACTACACATTATAATTTTTTTTACTAGCTGTTACTCGCGACTTCTCCCGCGTGAAAAATATCGCTTTTCCTTACTGATGAAGTTGCTTTATAATGGTAAAAGAATTTTTGAAATCAGCCCAGTAGTTTTTAAGTTATTTTATAACATTAGAATAGATTTTAAACCAACTTCGTTATCCATTACTCTCAATTACCATATCTAATTATCAAGGATACTTACTTCGGATTCTTGTATTCACAATAAACAACATGGTCGGGACAAATAAGGTCGTCTCTCGGAGGTCCGTATATAGCTACAATGAGGCCTTCAAGTCCGTAGCGCATGAAGGAGCAGGCGCGGGCCATCTTCCACAGCAGCGGCAGCGGCCGGTCGCCGCTACCGATGCCGTACACCGCGAGTAACATTAACGGTACACTTAGTACTGGACCCATGAATACTGAATTCTAAAAAATAGTTAAAAACCTTTAAATGTCATCCAAAATCTCTACTAAGCTACTATTTATAAGTAATAGCTTTTATCAGCGAGTTTTATTGCGCGAAATTATATCCAGATTACATTCTATGCAAAATTTCATCGAGATCCGTTAAGCCGTTTCGATATGTATTATAGTAACAAATAACCATTATTTCAATGCGAAAGGCATTTATGTTACTAATTTTAGTTTAGTTGCCATTTGTTTAATTTCTCATTACCACTTGCACAATAATTTCAGATCCAAATTGTGACTTATCTTAAAGCTTACTCTTGGTCTCATGCATTTTTTTGTCTGTGTATGTTTTGCTTTGAAAATCTAGAGAACGGTTTGTAAGGTTACTACATTTCGCTCTTTAAAATTCATTTGCAAACATTCACCCTAACATTTAGTGTTTACGACATAAATTGTGCGTAAAAATTATAGTACATCTGTCCAAGATAAACTATTATTAACGCTGGTACAACAGAGTTTAATAATAATATCAAGTTGTACTGAAAATCATAATTAATTTCAGACTTACAACAACGCTCAAACTGGACGATATCACGGTGCCCATGCTCTCGGATATCAAAGCGACGAGAATGCACACTGATATGAACATCACTATTCTGGTAGCTTCCATCGGCTGTGACGTCAGAGGGTACACAATCGCTAGGTAGATGAGCGAGAAGAAGATAGTCGCAGGCGTACGCGACACCACCAACGCCGCGTAATACGGCTTCAAACCATACCATCGGTTGAAATACTCCCGCTTTATCAGTTGCACCTCCTTTGGAACTGTAAATTAAGATGTTAACACATTATAGCTATCCCATTCCTACTTGATATTTCAGCGTAACATATTTTCATTTTCCTTCTCGCTCTGCAGCAGTACTATAAACTCCAGATGTTATCCATTTTGTAATCATATCATCTTTGACGAAATTTATATAATAGTATAAGTATAATTAGTCAGTTTATTCTTAAACTAGCTTTAGCCAGCGACTTTGCGTGGAAAAAATAGTAAAGTGAAAAGTTCTACTTACATGCTAACAATATTGGCATCATCGGTACGTATAACATTGCGATGATACAAGCGTAGCAGAAGCCGAAGTTGAATATAGTCTTGGAAGCGTCGTAGCCGATCTGACAGAACAGCATACCAATTATAAAGCCGAGGAACAGATGCATTCCGACACGAAGCCATAAGTAATCCTGGAAATAGAGCAAAAACTAAATTCAAAGATAATTGTGATAAAAAACAAATGTAATTTAAACTGAAAGATGTGAATGATTGTACTAATTTATTATGACAAATGAACTAAATATTAGAAGCACAGAAAACGTTGCAATTGCAAAATTTATAGATAAAAATTATTAGAGTACCATTTGTTTTTATTTAACTTTATTAACCTTGAATATATACTATTGTTATCATCTAATTTTAATAATTATTATCACAATTATAGTAAAATAAAATTCCTTTAAATCATTAAATTCCTTACTCTATTCCTAACCGACTGTAGCAGCATTCTCTTCAACAAAACAACAAACTGAGTAGAGGGAGTGCTCTCATATCTGTACGTATGATCCTGGACACCACCAGCGTTTAACTGCTCGATCTCCATCTCCTCGTACTGGTCTTCTACCTGGTGCTCCCTCCAGCGCTGACATCTTCCATTGTCTACTGCTGTCACCATCCTCTCTACATGACAACCGTATTCTCCACTCGATACTTCTATCACTGTAAAAAAAGAAAGTGGAAAATGGAATACTTGAAATTCTGATTTCAACGTTATCTATATTAATCTTTACTCGATACTAATATTATAAAGAGGAAATATTTGTATTTTTGTATGTATTCGATTCACATAAAAACTATTGGGCCGATTTCAAAAATTCTTTCACCATTAGATAGGTAATTTATCTGTGAGTAACATAGGCTATATTTTTTATTATCTTTTTAATTTCATGCCGGAGAAATCGCGAGTACCAGCTATCAATGAAATAAATCTACGCAAATTGAAATATGGTATAACTAAGAAATGAAGATTGTTTACATTCTGTAGCGATACTGACAATATTTGTGACTGTCCTTAACTTTCATAACTTACCAAAATCAGCTGGGTTGTAAGTCTTGGGGCAAGGTAACTGGAGTTCTTTCAGAAAGGGCACGACGCCCGCAGCCGTACCCTGGTATGCGCACCGGCCATCAGCAACCACGTACACGTGGTCGAACACGGAGAATAACCGAGCTGATGGCGTGTGCAAAGAACACACGACTGTACGACCGCCTCTAGCTACCCGTTTTAGTAAGGATACACAGGTTGATGATGCCACGTCGTCTAAACCACTTGAAAACGAAAGAATAACATGGATTTGTATTTAAATGAAACAATTACTTGAACAATACTATACAAGTGATTATAATCTCGCTAGTTTTCCTTGAGAGACCGTGTAAAAATACTAGACATCTTGCTTATATTATAAATGAATATTAGAAGTTAAAAGGTTCTTATCCACTCAGTTCTCGATGAAATTTGGCATAAAAATGGAATGGAAGAATATATAAGCTACATATTAAGTTTTTTTTTACTCCGCGCGTATGAAGTTGTGGGTAAAAGTTAGTGACTAGATAGTAAAGTGAAATAAATAATGAATAAAGTCGATTAAATTTAAGATGACTCATTGAAGCCACAATCCCTTAATGGAGAGAATAATGGAGAGAGGAGAGAGAGAGCAATGGAGAGAAAAATACGTTTATTTAAAAATATCTATTTTTAAAATGTAACAAAAACTGTTGCACCAATATCATAAAAATGATTTATTATGAATGCAATGTTATAAATTACTTGTCAGTCGTTTATATCTTTTGTATTTGACGATGTTCTACAAACTTTGTAAGATTTACGTTAAAAACTACACTTAGTTATGCAACTAAGCCAGTTTGGTTATAATATTTATTCTATTATAATAATCGACATGGAATTTTTATGGGATCCCAAAAGTATCATAGTATTCGATACCATTAAATAGTTTTAATTTAAATTTTAATTTTATTGTTTACATGTGTCACATTATCAATTGCAAATGTCAAAATGAAATGACATGAAAAACCATGGCAACCTTGCTTCCTTGATGTTGGCAGCAACTTATGGTCTCTTTCCCACATTAGGGTTTTTATCCAAAATATTTACCCCCTAAGTTTAATGGCGTGAAAATATATAGCCTTAAGCGTGACGTAAGTAGGGCTTTTTATTAGAAAATGAATTATTCAAAAATATGCAGTAATTGCTGATATCTTAGGCAACACATTAGTGTGTGTTTACGCTTTATTATAATAGTGTAGATATAGATAATACAATTGGTTTTCCTGTTATGTTTTCGTTTGTTCAGACATTGCATAGTTATTCTCGCGAATTTAAGAACATAGATGGCCTTAGATATATTTTACTATGTCACGGTGAACAACTGAAACCCACATTCTAATTGGCAAACAAACCGACGCAATGACTAGACAAAAACTTATTTTGAAACTCAGTAATATTAAAACTAGGAACCTAAAGTTTTACAAATTTTAATACTACCTTATACCATGATAAATAAAGCCTGCTACAGACTATCAGTTATAGTTAAGCAATCATACTATTTAATTAAAACATTCTTCAAAGATATTTCGTTCACTAAAAGCAAAATATTACCAAAATACTAAAAAGTAATAAAGTAATTTACAAAATTATTCAGATAGATCAGTCCCGTATTTGGTTTGTACAGTTATTACACAACTAAAAATTTAAACACAGTTAAATTGAGAGTTAAAAAAATTAAAAAATAAATAATTTACAACTGAACGTCTATAGCGGGCTTTATATTTGTAGCGAATACGCTATTTAATCGATAAGATATTTAGATATCGATAATGCGACACCCGCGCCCTCTCATGTGACGCGTAGAAAAACAAGGACCAATGAGGGAGCGCGGGCGCATTTGACAGTTAGTATCAGATAGACAATATAGCGTAAATTTAAGACTTGATGTAAATTAAACATATTAATAATATTAAACATAATCCCATATATTGTTTGATTAATGACGTATCAATGAATTAATTAATAGAATATTGATTATCAGCTATTGTTTATTGGAGGGAGAGGTAATAAAACCTCACCACAAATCAACAGAGGGGTGAGGATCAAAGAGATGTTAAAATTACGTGATTAATAAGAGATAAAAGAAACTTTTAAATCCGAACTTTTGCACTTAAATAATTGTTGTTTAATTACTGTGTTCTAATAGGCTATTTATTTAACCATTACCTCTTAAGATTGTTGTTTTAAACGCAGACATGCAGTGGGTCAAGTACATATGTCGTTTATTCTAGCACTGATTCCGACAGACATTTGTCATGATGTTATGAACATGCATACATAAATAATTACACGAACAATTGTATTTTAAGACAAAATGTTTCTCAAGATTAGATTTCAATGAATTCTCTCACGATTGAATTCACAAAAAAAGATAACGACTTAAAATATTGTATTGTTGTTAACGACACCTGAAGCGATAATTTTTTTCTTTGTAAATTAACTGAAATAGGTCTGAGAATTAACAGTAAGAAGGAAAACAGGAAAAGTTAAATAAAGTCAAGAAGTTCACGGAGATATTTTTCAGAATATTTAAAGTGAAGGTTAAACTCTAGCATTGTAATTTGCAAACTTCTAAGATACCAGAGATATTCAACGAATCCATTAATAGACAGGACAAAACATTTTTGTTATGTGATTTTACTTGGTGAATATAAATGATTTAACTTACGTTGTCGGTTCATCTAAGAAGATAACAGGTGGGTTGTTTAGCAGCTCCAGGGCTATCGAAAGACGCTTCCTCTCGCCTCCTGAGAGCCGCTCGCTTGACGTGTCTGTTGCTTTGTCTAATCTCAGTAAATGCAGGATCTCTTCCACCTACAAAACATATTGGTGTCTTTATTTATTTAAAAAGATAGAAAGAGATTACAGTTCACAGTACATTTCTTACAAATATTTGGAGTGGAAACTTCCAGATGTATTCACGTCTAATTGAAAGTAAGGCCACGTAATTAAATGTAGTTTAACTTGCTCAAAGTCCCACTATCCTTATTTAATTTTAATACATCTATCTATATTCTGTCCCATAGTTGTGCTACATACAGAATTACCTTTGATCTTATGCATTTTAAGAGCTAACAATTTAGTTTACGGACAGAATTAAACATTGAATTTTAGTACACAAAACCATTAACGCTTGCTCGTAGCATTTGTTACATTATTATGTATGTTGCACGTGACTTCGTCTGCGTGAAATTTAAAAAAAATATAAAGCTCATGTTACTCAGAGATAAATTATCTTTCTAATGGTGAAAGAATTTTTGAAATCGGACCAGTAGTTATTGATTTATTTCAATTCAAACAAAAATACAAATGTTTCTTTTCTATAAAATTATTATAGAATATGTATATCGGATAATTAAGCTATTGTTATCATACTATTATTATATCAAATGTTATATGTAATAGTAATAAATTACGTTAAAGATCATCTCGAGGTTGTTCCTCAAACGAAACCATGAATTAGACGTTCCAAGGTGAGGAATAATCTACATATGTTTTGCCAAATCATCTAAATTTACTTCAAATATTAATATTAAAAAATGTTTTTAATATAAACTAACATATTAAGAGAGTATTCTTACGTCTATTTATTGCAATCAAGGTAGACGAAGAACGAAAGATATAACCTAGAAAACAATTGGCTCCACTAAGTCACACATGGATAGATTTTTAAAAACATCACATTTTTCGTAACAAAATAACTTAAACACAGTGCTGTGATAACTAGCGGTTTTCATTTACTTTTTCTTAATCAAAATCAGTGTTTTCGTACTTATTAAAGTAAGATTTTATCGATTTCCATTGATTTGTGAAATTGACAAAGAAACTTCCAAAAGCCCTTTTTTATTGCGAAAAGCTAGATTTATTTTGAAAATATCGGACATCATTGCAAGTGCTATTACTCAAACAGACCGAAAGGACTAAATTAACCGAGGTAACGCCAACTAAGGGTTAGCTAGTGAACCATAGTATCACAAACACTTACAATGACAGCCTTTCTAGGCGCGGCCATATCGCTGCCCAGCTTGAGATCCGCCGCCATAGCCATCGCCTCGCGTACCGTGATGAGCGGCTGCAGAAGATCCTCCTGCATGATATAACGCGACAGCTTTCTGAACTGCCGCAAATCGCGCTGTTCACCATTCGTCGATATTATACCGCTCGCACCATTCACCCTGCAACGTCATCAAATGTGGAAAAAACATCCAGACAATGTGCGTGTTTCCACGCTGCGTGATTTTGCAAGCATTGTTCACTTCCGTTCCTAGAATTAAGAAGCGTGGCAACGCGCCTTTATTCTATAAAACACTTCTATAACGCTATCCAACTTATCATTTAAGACATAACCAATGGACACTAGGAAGTTATAAGCTTAGTGTAATGATGAGGCATTGCATTATGTCATGAAATGATACTATTACTTACAGCTTATATAATTTTTATAGAAGAAGAAGGGGAATAAGCTGCGGATTGCATACAATTATTTAACCCATGGATCGCCCATGGACATCCTCAACGCCAGTGAAAATGCCCTAAATCGTAACTGGAAAGGCCCTAAATCGTAACTGTTTAAAAATGACGCTGACAGAGTATTTCACAACACTGCTGTGTTAATTAAAAATTCCTATAACAACAATCTGCTGATTATTAGACGATATCTCCAGTACAAATATGACAATTTACTTCGACTCTATAAAGGGATGTATTAGCAACTTCAAATGTTATCGACTAAGAAGTTGTCTTCTAATGTCCTTAAAAATATTTTTACAATACAAGCAGTATCCGTTTAGAAAAATCACTGGAGTCATTATAAAGTAAAATAAAAGGCAAAATTCACCAATACCAAAAAGATTAAAAAAAAAATACATAGAGTAAGCATAGTTAGACACTTCACTTGAAACATTTTTCACATAATCTCACTAGAGCTACTTATATTCGATAGTAAAATCCAAAAAAAAAATACATAATTGAGTAACGTCTCGGCGTGTCAAATTTGATATTAAGACATTATCGTACAAAGTTACAGGTGAAAAAATATTGTTTCCTATGTCTAGTCTATTTTCTTAAATGTCTTTGACCAATATTTTGTAAAATTTACCTGTAACCAGCCAGTACATTGAGTAGCGTGCTCTTGCCTGCGCCCGAGGGACCCAAGATGGCGGTCAGCTGGCCCGACTTGAACTCTCCATTGATACCTCGTAGTATTATCTTTGAAACTAAAACAGTAATATTTTTATATTAACTTTACTTCATGTAAGTAACACATTAATCTCCTATAACCCAGAAACATCACTATAATACTCAAAGTCGTGTTTTATAGTTTTTCTAAATGTACAACAAAAGCCACTACAGACCTTAATGTTAACTGCACAGTTGAACTGTACACTTAAACCTGAAGGTATATAGGGTGCTTTAACAGTCCCTTTCATAGTTGTTAAATGTTAAGTCACTTTATGACATTTTTTCTGATGTTACTCGTAGGCAATAATTCATAGTTCGTTGAACTATGAATGCGACTGACACCGACAGCTTATTGATTTCTATATGTACTTAATACTTTTAAAGTCCAAATTAAGTCTAGAACACTTATAACCCCTACAGAAATGTATACTTCTAATATTCTTATTAAAAATACAATGTCTTCAAGTACTGTAAAAAATATATACACATACGAGTAATTACATTAATTTCAGTATTAATAGTACGTTATTTCTGTAGATTTATGAGCGATTTGAATGATCTTCGACATGTTATTATAAGACTTAATTTGTTCTAAGTTTAAAATGTATTTATGTATATTTCTATTCGGATTTTCGCATAATTTTGTGCGTAAGTCCAATATTTTTTAGATATCAGGAAAAATCTATTCAATATTGAATCATAATCCGAACACGATAAGATTTAAAATTGTCTGAACTATAAGAAAATGCGCCGACTGCATTGTTGGCTTCAAACGCAATTGAATAGCGACAGGTCATTGACCCAACCTTCGTCAATGCAATTGAACTATGGTACACTATAAATTAACTACCACAAAGGTAATTCGAATTAACAGTAAGTTTCTATTGCTTTTATAACGTTCTCTGGTATGTCAAATTATGTTGATACTAGTTTTAGCTCGCGACTCCACTCGCACAAATAAAAAATAGATAGCTTATATGTTCTTCCAGACTATGTTTTACATCTGTGCAAAATTTAATCTAGATTCCTAAATTTTTTATCGTTCCTAGTAACAAAGTTCCATCTATTAATCTAAACATTCGCATTTATATTATTATGACAGTTATCTACGATATCAACTAGTACTTTAATTAGTTAAGAGCGCGCGCACACATTTGACTAAACTATCGCACAACTGTTTAGTCGCGCTTTGATTCTTATGAGTTTATAAGGAGGTGCGCACAATGCTCGATTTTTAGTTGTACAATAGTTGAATAGGCTGCGAAACAATCGACAATCGCATCGCACAAGATTTGTGCGATAGTTTAGTAAAAGCGTGCTCTAAACAACGGTAGCAAAATCACCCTTTTACTAACTTTAATAAAAAAAAAATATGCTATCGACGTATATAAAACAAAACCATTTTTTTCCTTCGGTTATAAAAAATGATCAAATCGGTACAAAATCTGGTGCAAATGTAACCGTAGCTGACATTAGTACGCAACATGGTATACATATCTCGGAGGCTGTTTTACTGCATTACTCACGTGGCCCGCCACGACCTATTTAGGACATAGCTAGTCACGTGCGGACCCTAGTGATGGGAAGTGTAAATCGATATACACTAAAACTGATAAAATAACAACTAGAACATCACTAGAAAACAGAAGTATGCAACTATGTTAATAATTTTATTGTAATGGATACGTTATACCAAACACCAGAAAATAAAATAAAAATGTTTAGTTTAAATCCATCGTTAAAAAACTAAATGTCTTCGTTACATTTAGTATGATATTGGCTTTAGTTAATATATCGATATATCATTTGAACATCACTAAAAAGACGTCACGTGGGAGGCTTTCTAAATACTTAGCCAATTTTCTTGCTGCAGTTGCACACGACTCGGGTTACCATAAAGTCGTTATTAACCGACCTTGAAGCGACTAAATAAAATTAATTAATACATTTATTAAGTTATTTCATTAGAATCAAAGATTTCCTCTTTATAATATTAAGTATAAGTATGATTTAGTAAGTAATGCTCATATTTTACGTTAAAGTTTTGTTTGTTAGTAACTTGCTAGAGAAGATTTAAATCACATTCTTGTTTTGATTCATCTGTTTGTTCTGTTAACAAGTATATAAAACCTACATGAATCTAGAAAATAACATAAAAGTCACTAGTGAACTTTCATAATTTAGTTTCGCAAACAACTTGTCGGTGTGTATAGGCATTTAATTTAGATTTATCTCATAAAATTATACTAAGAGACCGAATAATTCTGAGTACGACAGATACTGTTTAGGGTACGGAAACTGTCTACGCAATAAAAAATTCATAGTCATAGTACACAGAACCAGTTCTATGGTAAGACCTTGGGCTCATTGCACTATTTATCAACATTAAGGTTAGAATATTGCTTTACTGCAATATAACTAAGTTTTTAAGGTATCTCGTACCTTAATACAAGCGTCTACTTTTACGTGTGTACTATTTTCGAAACAATTTTGTTCGTTTACTGCGTATCTCCAAAAGAGCTATACAGATCTAAATAAAAGCCAAAGATGTAACACATGTTCTGGAAGAACTACATAGCCATGTTAAAAAATTTCTTCTTTTAATTTCGCGCGTAAAAACTTGTGGGAATCCTATAGAAATATGTAATTTTGTCTCTATCAAAGAGAATTAAAAATGTGTTTTCCAAGAGGTTCCATATTTTTAAATCCACGGGCAAGAATTTTATCTTCAACTAACTACGTGATAATAATAGGAAACTAAATCTTGATTTATAATAACATAGCAATTAGCTAAGTGTTACCTATATTTATGTAGCACTAGCTTTCGCCCGCAACTCCGTCCGAGTGTAATTAAAAAAAAAAAAAGTGAGTAGCCGATGTGTTCTTCCAGACTATCCTCTACATCTAACCAAAATTTATAGAGATCCGTTCAGCCGATTAGGCTACAAACTCTAACAAACATCCATCCATCCAAACTTTCGCATTTATAATATTAGTTACATAAGATTTGAAGACTATCTTACTGCACAAAAGTGTTTACATAATAATTGTTCTATACACAATGTCTTATATGACATTAAATTACATACAATTTTATGTCATATAAATAGATGTCTAATAATCATTAATTATTTACTTTGAGGAAAAAAGTGTATCTCTATCCTTATGTTTATGTGTTGAATATTCTTTACATTACATAGATCGTGTTCTACAAAATTATGTCTGGTCTAATGACCTATTGTAGACTGAACGCCTTATCCGCAATAGTTAAAGAAACAGTCATAGTAGTTTTAAAATTAATTACATACTGTTTTAAAAAAATACTTACCTTTACCGTTTTTGACTGTGTAGGTTAAATCTTGAAAGCTTAAGTTGACAGGCGGTCGCTGCGGGAGATGCGACAAGTGCGCTCGCCCCAGCGCTGGGCCAAGCGGCGTGGGCGCATTTGAAGCCGCTTTCATTATTTCTCACTCTTTGTTTCTCTCACTTTCACTCCGACATCACTGCATTAAACACAAGGATATATTTTCGTCATAGACTAAATGAGTCGCGTAATATTATTCAATACCTGTAAGAAAAAATGTTTAAAACAGTTACCTACACACAACATTTACTTGGTTTTATCAGAACGAAAATGTCGTAAACCACATTCGGCTTTTGTTTTGTTTTGTTTAGTTAAATTGAATTTCAATCCATAAATTCATATTAAAAAGTGCATGACCTATAGGGATGAGCAGGCCGATGATCAAGGGGTATAGTAGTAAATGTTTTTTTTATACCTTACACCCTGGAGATATACAAGAAAACTCATTTGAAGGAAGGAAATTTATTTAATTTCCGCCTTTTTAAACGCATCTACGCAAACTAGCCAATTAAACCGAATTCGTTACTGTATTTTTTTTAAATATGAAAATGTACAATTTTAACAATAACAGCAATTTGTAATTTTTTGTCGTATAAAATTAAATACATCTTTATTTAAATTACTACCATTGTAAACAAATATGGCTACAATAAGTCTTATAAATCAATCCTTATTAATTAAAACAGATTGATTAACAAATTTTTATGAAGATTTATATCATGGTATTTCAGAAACAACTCAGTGCTTGCGAAAGTATTGCCAACCGTTGCCAAATGCAAGCGGATACTATTAAACTATAAAATATAACAATGTTTAAAGACAACAGTCGTAGATTAATAATTAATAATTAGCCGTGACTTCGAAAAAATTAATATAACAATTTAAAGCATAGTCAGATTACCAAAAAGTATTATTGTGAACTAGCTGAATTCTCAATTGCAATGTCCAAATTACCGTTACCATAATAACCCTGCTTTCTTCATGTTGGCAGCTTGTAGTTTATGGTCCCTTTCCCGCATGATGGTTTTTTTCCAAATTATTTACCCTCTAAGTTATAGCGTGAAAATATATAGCCTAAAGCGTGAGGTAAGTGTAGGGTTTTTTATTAAAAGAAGAATTATTCAAAAAAATGCTGTAATTACTGACATCTTACGCCACAAAGAAGTGTGTGTTATTATATTAGTATTGATATAGATATTGAATACTGTAGAATAAAACCGTAATGCAGGGGTGGCGAACCACTGGCACGCATGCCATAAATGGCATACGACGTAATAGGGCACTTCGAAAATCATATAAACACTATGGAAAAATTATGAAATAGGTGCATCATGGAATTGATGTAATAATCGCTGTCAAAATGATTTGATGGCACGTCTAAGCTGTAGAATTTTTTTAAAAAAATGGCACTTTTTAAAGAAATTCTACGCCATTCACCCCTTATGAATTTGTTATACGCATAGCATAGGAGAGTCAATATTTCTAAAGCACACTTACTCAGCGTTTACAAGCGATGCATATTGCAAACAGTTAGGAAATATATTGCGGAAACGTCTGAACTTTAATAAATATTGAAATATGAGAAATGTTTAGTAAAACGTCGTTTTCCAGATTGAAATCACAATTTATCAACATATGAATAAAAGGCATAAGCTAAAGTGGTTTTAGTTTTGGAGATGTACAAGGTGAAATACTTTTTAGTACCCCTCCTCTGTCCTCAGTAAATCTATCTCACATCTCATTTACAGAGATATCACGAATAGTATGTAAAATTATAATAAAATACTAACAAATATTCGTGATAGACCCTCTGACGTTACCTTTTCCTCTACTTTACTAGCTATTCAATACTCAAATACGACTTAAAAATCGAACGTTTAATTTACATCCAACACATGAGAACCTAATGTCTATGACACCAGACTCACGACTCACGCAAACGTCAATTTTATTCGCAACGGAAAACCGCGTATCAATTCACAAAAGTATGTCAACTTGATAAAACTAAACAAATGATTGTATCGACATTTGAACCGGAAAAATAGAGCATTTATGTCAATACTTATCAAAACATATGGTCATAATATTATAGTAAAAAAATGTCCCTAAATTTCGTGGCGCGATTTTGAGCTAAACTATTTAACTACGTGGTAGTCTTTGACTTCAAAAATCAAACAAAAAATGGGACCCACCTGCAAGCATTACCTTTCTGATAAAAAAAGAATTATCAAAAGCGGTCCACTAGCGGCGGAGTTATGCCGTAACACACATAAAAAAAATAAAAAAATACATACAGAAGAATTGAGTACTTCTTTTGGGGAGTCGGTCAAAAAGATATAAAATCAAAACACTAGAGTAATATTTGTAATCATTGAAACCATTTTTAATCTGCAACCAAACCAGTTGTAACGATACTTGCTTACTACTTTCTTAAATGTATTTAGTAACAACGTTTATCAAAATAAGCCACCAAATTTTAGAGGTCGCTCTAAAGGTGTTTACACACTACAGTGACGCTGTAAGTTCTTGTAAAAATTATGAAACCTAATTAGGAAATAGGATAAAAAATCTAACATATGCACCAATCTTATGTAATTATTTTGTTAATTAAGCGAATTAAAAGCCACTAAATTAATTACAATAACTAGTATAAATTTTTCTTAGTCAAAATTACACTAATTTAATAATTCAATATTATTATAAACTAAATTTATATCGGCCAAAAAGACTGTATGTAAAAGGTTGTATCTAATTTTTTACAACCACTCTAGTGTATAGTCATAATCAGATAAATTTTGCAAGATCAAAACTGAGAGACGATGATTGAAACGCCTACAGTTGCATGAAGGTCACGCAGCGTACTGACGAAACATTTGGCTCTCTGCCAACTCTTCTGGTTTCAAATACAAGAATTATTGACTTATCGTGAATTTCTACATCAGTGGTGAAATCTAATTTTGCTCTCTCTATTTGGATAGGAGTAAGAGTGATGACGATAAGTTCTCGTGATTATTCCTCTGCAATGGAACCTTACGGTTACCCCCTTTACCTATATTTGGATTTTCTTAACAAGAGCACGCATAAAAAAGACAAAGTAAATTCAACCTCTTTCCATTCAGTTAAAGCTCAATTTCATTTGAATTAAACATCTGCTTTGTTTTACGCTCCGGTCTGTGAAGGAATCCTAAACGTTGCATATTGATCAATATTTACCTATTTTGAGTAAATCACTATTAATAGAATTATATTGTTGATTCGCAATTCATCTTGAGAAATATTCGGTAGCAAATTGGATGATGCATGCCAAATTGAATGATGGCATTTTTATTGTAAACGCCGGAAGGTATCAATTGTTAATAATACTAAAGAGACGACATTGGATGGTTTATGCATTTATTTAAAATACTAGCTTTCGCCCGCGACTCCGTCAGCGTCATTAGTAAATCTTAAGATTTCCCCCGAAACTAAGAAAAGCCTACGACTTTTAGACTGTGATCTATGTCAAACATCGACATCCGTTCAGGAGTTTGGGCGGAAAACTCTAACAAACTTCCATCCATCTAAACTTTCGCATTAGTAGGGTTAGGTATTCATCCATCCCAGACTTGATATTACTTGATTCTGTCTACACCTCTGGGCTAATAGCGTGTTACTCGTTTATTTTTTAATTGAATTAGAAAATCTATCAACCTAATAAAAAACAATGTCTCATTGTATTTTAATTTGTTATTGTGTTGAAATAAAATATGCCTTTTTTTACTCTACAAAGACTGTTTCTGGAATTATTAATATTATTAGAAAATACCTGCCTATTACATTTCAGAATAAATACACAAGCATTTATAAAAAAAAACTGGTAGTAAAAAAGCGTATGAAAGTTAACGTCTTCAGTTTAATATTTATTAATACAATTATATTAGGGTTAACCATAAGCTTTTAAATATCCATCCCTTATTACAAAGAATTGCGGAAAATATAAATAAAATTTTGCCGTGTTATCCCTGAATTTTTGGACACCACAATTGTAAAGTATTCTTACCTTAATTCATAACATAAATATATCATGCGATCTGTGACCATTCACTGAAAACACTATTTCATACACTTCACGTCACGTCCACTCTACGCCGCTCACAAGTTGCGACTAAGTTAGATGCATACTGTAGCTAGCCCACAGTTCATTCACAGCGCAATTAAAAAGAGTGGCTCTCAAAGTTCAAAAAGATATGTACAGTATTTATCTAGTCCAGTGAGAAAAGTAAATAAAACCAAAGAATCTCTATAAATGTCAAAAAGTGTCAAAATACTTGCCAGAGCAATTTTCAGTGTCAAACTCCACCTGAAGGACAAGTTTGTTGCACTAAAACTAGTGTTAGCAAAGCCTAAAAGGTTTGCCGATTAACAATCGCCTCTCGTCCTCGTCTCCTTATTACCATCAGTTAACGAGTGACGTCATACAAGCATCGGTTTTTACGTCATAATTAATCTCTTTTATCAAATATTTTACTTGATGTATACTATACTAATATTATAAAGAGGATAGATTTGTATTTTTGTATATATTAAAATAACTCAAAATCTAATAGGCCGATTTCAAAATTACACAATTAAAAAGCTACGTTATCAGTAAGTAACATAGACTGTATATAGTTTTTTTAATATCGCGCGGATGAAGTCGCTAACAACAGCTAGTATGAAATAAATTACTGGCCGAATTTAGTTATGCTTCAACAAAAAACAACTCTATAGTTTTTTGAAGAACTAAAGCACTTTGAATATTCTACACCTAACAGAAGGAAAGTTTGAGCAGCGCTAGTTTCGGCGGAACAATGTTTGGTTTTCTATTGTTTTGTTACTCACAGAGGAAGTGCAACGAGTTGCGTGGTGCACCACACAAACCATATGACGTAACGATTACAGCTAGTTATAAAAGATCTAATTTTGCGAACAACGCCGGTTACCAAGTGTAATTATAAAATTTATGTTCAGTTAATCCTGAACTGGTGATTTATTTGTGAACATTGTTATCTATGTTACCATGTGATTCAAAGATAATAGGAGGAAATGTACCTTATAAGCTACAATCGTTTGAATAATTTGTAGGTCGTCGGATAGTACACTTCTAAATTCTTCTCATGATTATCCCATTTCGCAAGTCTACTACCTAATTGGTTATTTGTCAGTAGACGGAGTTTATCTTTTCAAGAACAAGGAGTTTTTTCTGTAAGTAAAACACTGCGAAAGGCCGTGATTGTACTTGGGTAGCATTGTGAAGGCAATCTTAAGCCATAAGTGGACATATATTCACAGACATATTTGGTCTTAAATTACATTTGTACTCGTATTATAGACATAACTTATATATCATTTGAAATAATCTAAAGCAAGACTCGCCTTAGTTGCTACACACCATTGCGAAAAGCAAAGCGGAGCGAAATGCAACTTACGATTTTTACTGAGTTTTTTTTTTATAATTTGAAAGTAAAAACATTTACAAAATAATTATGTTGTGCTTTGATTAATATAACGATAAGACTGATCTCGTGCGTCATATTTTAAAACAATCTGAGCATTTGGTAAGATCTATTTATGTTGCAATTTTTTCTTACATTTAAGAGATTACGTAAATTTAATATTTTCAAATAAAAATTTTAGGACATACTGGCCACAAATAATGCAGTTTTGTTGTTAATGTTATGCCAGCTCCGTGCATGTCTATTACTATTTATTGTAATTTAAATTTAGAATACAAATAAAAAAAATCAATAAAACTGAGAAGAGTTACCTTTGCTTTGATACCTACCGGTTCTCGTTGGATTTGCTTTAAACACTGCAAATAGAATAAAATCTCAGTAATATTATAAATGCGAAAGTTTAGATGGATAGATGAATGGAACTCGATTAAATTTGACATAGATGTAGAGGATAGTCTGGAAGAACACATGGGCCACTTTGTTTTTTTTTTCTAATTCCACGCGGTAGGAGTCGCGGGTGAAAGCCATAATAGTAATATAATATTAAGATAGTAAATGCTTTTAATAACATTTATTAAATTGTACTTTTTTTATAGCATAGGGTGGCAAACGAGCAAGTGGTCACCTAAAATCGCCAAAATGGTGAAACGACCGCTGCCCATAGACATCCGCAATTGGAGATGCGTTGCCTACCCTTATACGACGGAGAAGGAGACGCACATAAAGAGGATATTTCCCCTTCCTATGCATCTTCTCCACCGTCAAATCCACTTCACCTTCCCAACCTCTCCTTATAAGAAAAGGATGGTAAAGAGAAAAGGACTTAAATTAGGCCTCCGGCACCACACTCATCAGACGAAACACGGAATTGCTTCCATTTCACGCCTGTCTTCTGTGTGGTCGTGGTATTACACCGGGCGTGCCGGCCCATTCGTGCTAAGATGTTAAAGCGGGCACTACCACTGTCTAATACAATAAACTGTACAATAAACTCTTACAATTATTTTTATTACTGAATACAAATTACCTAATTGAAGTTAATAGTTAAAAATTAACTTCACAACAGTTACAATAAGGTTATATTTAAATATGATTAAAGGAGAATATTTTAATCTATTCTGTATTATTTAAAGATAAACATCGTTCTACAGAATTCAAATCTATTTTATTAGCACTTTAAAAAAACAATTCAAATTACTGAACGAATTTTGTAACAATTAATGAAATGAATTCCTTTATTGGTTAACGATAATAATCTTGAAAAACAATGTCAACGGAATATTATCAGATTACGAAGCATGAAATATGACCGTTAGTTATGTTATAGTCTTCCTTCTCATTCTTTGGAGAATAATGGAGATAGCAAATCTAATTTTATTGCTTTCTCCTCACTCTCTATGTATTTAGATTTCTTAGTCTAAGGTAATGAATCGCGGCCTTGAAATGGACCTTTCTATTCTTGTAAATAAACAAATATAACGTCTAAAAGTTTTAATTGTTTAAGTAAGAAATTAAATGAAAAAAAAAACTAAAATCTTTTAGTCGAACGATCGCAATTATTTTAATTGATGCTACACAGAATTAACTAATTCAGTACAAAAACGTCGATAGCAATGAAAAACGGCAATAATAATACACCGACAATGCAACTCATACGTCTATTTTTTTTTATGAATATTTTTAAATTAATTTATTGCATAATACAAAATTCCGAAGATAATAAAAACGTTGGTCTTTGCGTAAATAAAATAGTGACGCACAGATTAAATAAGGGATCGAAAGTTACCTATATAGGATACGATGACAAAGAAATAATTAAAACAATCAACAATTTGAACTTTGTGACAATTGTGATACGAACAATGAAATCCAAAGTGCAAGTTTCTAATGATGCGTACATTATAACCGTTAAAGACAATATAACTGAAATACTAGAAACCATACAATACGATATCAACTGGAAACCAGATGTGAAATTTCTTATAATAGCGAATGCTGAAAATTTACTGATTAAATTGTTCCAAGAATTAATCAAATATCGTATAAATAATGTCGTTATTATCAATTCAAAAGATATTAATTTGTATACTTTTAATCCATATGAAAATAATTCTTGTGGAAAAAAGTTTGACAGTATTATACCTCTTGGAGGATGTTTCGAAACTAATTTATCGGAATTATATCCGATTGAATCGAAAAAAATAAAGAATTGTTCATTCCAAGCGTTGATTACTGATTCACCACCTTTCTCGTCGTTCGAAGAACAAGATATAAGAAATATGAAAAATTTAGGAGTTGAACAATATGTGATTGGAGTTATAAGTGAATTGGAGGGATTTGATGTCATTTATGTGAAGTATGATGATGCTGAAGAATTCTCTATGGTTAGTGATATGGCGGTTACTGGACCAATCAAGTTTGTTCACCAACACAAAGTCGATATGTTATTTGGTGCTATAATGTTGTTAGAACAAAGAGCAAAAGCCTTCAGCTATTTATGGGGACACGTGACATTTGTTGACGAATTAAAAATAATAGTCAAGAAGGCAGATATTGTACCATTCTGGAGAATAGTGTATCTAACATTCGATAGTGATGTTTGGGTTTTATTTTTATCGACGTTTTTCATATTTTTTACTATAGTTAATGTATTTTATGATATCGATAAAGGTGCTTTAATATTAATGATGATAGATAATTTATTTCAGCACGGTAGTAAATTGGGAAGTAAGAAAAAAACTCGATGGTTATTTGTACTTTGGGTTGCCTTCACTTATCTTATAGGCACTTATTACCAAACTCATTTGACAGGACTTTTAACAAACCCTAGCCATAATTATCAGATATCGAACGAAAATGATTTAATTAAATATAAAGTAAACCCACATTTTAGTACTTTTTTTATAGATTTTTCTAGAAATATAGATAATTTGAAAGATTCAATGCAAGAATGTGATTTGCAGATAAAATGTTTGCAAGATGTTAGTAAATCTTACGTATTGTACACAATAGCGTTAAATTCTTTATATCAGCAGAGTAAATGGAAGTTTTGCGAAAACGGGATCGATCTTCTATATTCTTTTAAGCAGCCTTATACTAAAATCCTATATGCAATTTATTTGGACAAAGGATTCCCATTTTTGGATAGATTACATTTGCATACATTAAGATTAAAAGAAAGCGGTTTGATTGATAAATATTTAAATGATTTCTATTACGAACAAAATAAAAAATATATCCTGAAATCTCGAAAGGTCAATAATATTTCATTTCCTTGGCATATTCTCGCGTTTGGTTATTGTGTTTCGGGTGTTTGCTTTTTACTTGAGATAGTTTTATATTACTGGAATTTAGCGTACAAGCATATTTTTAAATTCTTTTTTAACGCATTTACCAGCTTCGCTTAAATCTATTTAATGGAATATTCATGTTAGTTATAAGGTACATTTATCTTGTCTATGAAATAAAAAAAAATTGATTATATTCTTAGAGAAATAAATATCTTAAACCACAAATAAAATGCATATTAATATTTATTTACCATTTATTTATAAAATATAGAAAACAATCATTTATATATCACCAGTACTAACCATACATTTATTGGACCATTTAATTGTTCTAAACGATTTTATAACTAAGTACAAATACATATTTCTACACAAATTCTAAAATAATTCTTAAACATTGATAAAATTGATAATTATATTTAAAATGTCACAAAGTATTTTTTCCAATATTTCAAATAACTATTTGCATATTTTATTCAATTGAACGGCAAGCCGATACGGCAAGATAAATTAGAAGTACCTCTGAAATATAATTTTTAAGGCAACTTATGGCAACACTAATATAAAATGCCAAAACTCAAATTGAAAACTAACATGTTAGAAATCGCTAAAGTGAGATATCACCAACATTTTTTTGTATAATTCATTCAAACTCAAAATAAAGTACAATTTAAAACTGTTAGTTTTCCAAGAAAAAATCAACAAGCGTTATCCAGATTTTGATCAAGAAATAATATTTTAATCTATATTACATTAAATTCAAAAAATATTTATAATTCATGAAATTGTAAATAACTTTTTTTTTTAATCTAGTATAAACATTCTTAAAATTATCTTTTGAGCACTCATTTAAAAAGGCACTTGTTAGTAACATTTTTTATAAATTGTCATGACAACAAGAAAAATATATTTTTTATAAACTATTTTTCGTATAGATGTCCCAACACAAAGGTAACAGAAACTGTTTATGATTAAAAATAATTTTAAAACAGATTAAAAATAAGGCACTAATGTCACTTGTCATCTTGCTTTTCTATTAAAAATGGTTCTTACATATTAAATTTTATAATTTCTGGTTTATTCGTTATTTCTCATTTAAACACAAATACTAGGTTTTTTTTATATTTTTTACGCTTTGTGTAAAGACATATATCACAGAGCAGTCTCTCAAATATATTATATTTACTCTACCAATCACCTAAAGAATACATAAATTTACATAAAATTAATTTAAATTCAATATGTCCAATTTCAAACACATGAAATTACGCCCTTAGGATATAATTCTATAAATTATCTTTTACTTGCTGTTCCTGTGCGGCTTTTTCCGCAAGGATTAAAAAAAAACTTTATTTTACTGTTTACATTTGTCAATTTCTTTTTCTTTCAATTGCCGTCAAAATTACCATTACCATAATAACTTTGCTTCTTTAATGTTGGCAGCTTGTAGTTTATGGTCCCTTTTCCACATGTACGTTTTCTCCATTTTATTTACTCCCTGAGTTTAATAGCGTGAAAATATATAGCCTAAAGCGTGTCCTAAGTGCAGGACGTTTGATTTAAGAAACGATTATTCAATAATATGCTGTGATTGCTGACATCCTGCGCCACAAAGTAGTGTGTGTTTACGCTTTATTATATTAGTATAGAAGTATAGATTAAGGGAAAATAATTTTACAGTCGAAATAGCGACAAATGTAAACAATTAACTTAATAACCGTTAATCTTTATAAATATTTTATAAAGCGGTTATTTGGCGTTCGATTTCAATTAACGGTTTTCAATGACCAGTACATTCTTTTAGCTGACGTCATAAGTCTCTGCCAATTTTTACAGTTTATTAAAAATGTAATACAAAATGGCGGATAACATTCCTATTGTCATTTTACGTATTGATTCTTATATTTGGTTAATAAAAAGTTTAAAATTAAAATCTTAAATAATTCTTATATTCGAAGATATCCCACTATCACAATAACTGCGGTTATACCAACTAAATATTAATTGGATATTTCCATTTACCTCTATATTGGACAGATACTTGGATATGACAATTATTGCTTTGAAATTAGACTTGCAAGAATCTTATGGCAATTTGCAAAGTGAAATGACAATCTCGTATTAAAAGCGTCATATTTTGAACAATAAAAAAACCAATAGCACGGAATGTTGACATTTTTGACCGACTTCCCAAAATAAGGAAGTACTCAATTCGTCTGTATGTTTTTTTTATGTGTGTTACGGCATAACTCCGCCGCTAGTGGACCGATATTGATAATTCATTTTTTATCCGAAACGTAATGCTTGCAGGTGGGTCCCATTTTTTATATTATCGAATTTCCAGAAAAAAAAATCATATGTAGTCATTTAAATTATAAACTAGCTTTCGCCCATGACCCCGTCCGCTAGTTGTGTCCGCCTGTGTTCTTCCACACTATCCTCTACATCTATACCAAATTTCATCGGAATATGTTCAGCTGTTTACGTTACAAACTCTAACAAACATCCATCTAAACTTTCGCATTTATATTATTAGTATGATTACTATGGACATTCGTAAGTTACAAATAATAAACATATAGTTGGGTTTTGCTTCCAAAATGGTGTAATATCGAAAGAAATTAGGTAATTTTTACTTACTGGTAACTCTTATAAACTAGCAATCCCGTCCATCTAATTAAAAAAAAATGCCATAAGATCCGATCATATAAAAGCGTTACATGAAATTACAGTAAAATAATTCTACGAAGCGTTAAAATGTTAATAATCCTGTCCAGTATAAAGATGAATGGATCTGAAAGCCGAGTTTACTAACCAATTACGTTTTAAAAGTTTTAAAATTTAATATCGATGGGTGAAAGGCTATTTGTTTTAAGCGCCATTAGGTTAAATGTTTTCATTTTTAGAAAAAAGACATAAAACCAAATCTTGAAAATAATTTCAATTGAAAGATTTTCAGACCGGTACTAGATTAAAATTACTATAATAGGCAATATGCATATGACGCCAAATTGTACCAAACTTTTTTTAAGTATACTTTATTACTATAAAAACAGTCCTGCAAAGATTTTTTTAAACATTATATGATTTAGTGGCAAAATTTAATCATTAAAAAGTGTCTTTTTTCAAATTCCCTCGCTAGTTCTAAAACGCACACTATTGGTCGAAGCAAGTGGCTCATCTAATATGGCGTCGCTGCGTTGACAATACAGTTCATTTACGTTAGTTTATATAGAAATACACTCTGGAAGTATTTTACTGTAAACACGATACCAAAACCAACTTTAAAATAAAAAAACTAATGAATAGAATTATTAATTACCACTTATTTGTACCAGTAATAATAAAAATGAAACGATTTTTGACTTTTTGACCTTGAGAAACTTTGTTGTGTTTTACGTCGAAGTGACATCTGAGCGTATGTTATGAATGGAATAGACGATTGACGTCAATTGTCTATTGACTTAATTTTATTTTATTATTTTTAGCTCAATGGTTGAATATTTTCGCGTCAATTTTTTGTGGTCATTTTATAACAAGTAGAATCGTTAAAAAAAAAAGAAAAAAAAATACTCGCATATTCCCTATTCTACATTTTTCATTATTTTTAACGACGCAGAAAAATTCACTGATTCTGAATATATATAAGTCAATATCGCCTAAATGTCAGTTGATACAAAAAGCCTTTCACCAGTCGATATTAGTATAGATTTCATATATACAGTATTGCCTAAAACGGCGGTTGAAACAATTATCCTTTCACCTGTAGATATTTGTAAAGACAGTGAGATACACGTTATCTGGTGGAGCGCAGCTTCCAGCGCAGGAAGAGGAAGGCGGAGACGCGCAGCACCACGAAGATGAGGCACAAGGCCGCGATATCCAGCGCGATGTCCGCGTCCAGCATGTCCAGCTCCTCCAGCGTCGTGTTCGGATCCTTGAAGTGGCAGTACGTCTGAAAATATATTACAATATGATAATTTATCTATATCTGAAAGGCATTTAAGAAATACATAGACATAATAAATATTTTTTCACCGGTAACTTCTTTAAAAAGTACTATGTTGTCAAGTTTATTGTCACCTTCTCTACTTATTGACATGTGATAAAACATTTTACAAAGTTATAATAAGTTCCATATTTTATTACAAAATAAACTAAACAGTGTGAGAAATTAAATTTAAACATTCAAATTTTAATTAATGACACCTATTGGCAATCATTTTAAATACAATTATTATATTGACATGTAGTTTTGTGGCCATCACTAGTAGTGATGTGAAAAAAGTCTTATGTGATGTGTCAACTATGTTTCTCTATATTTTTTTAATATATTTGGTCGTAATGTAGTGTAATTTGAAGTAATATGGTGTAGTGTAGTATGACGTGTTGTAGTATAATGTAGTGTGACGAGATATGGTTACACCGTGAGGCGTGATGTGATGTAGTGTAGTATTGTGCGGTGTGGCGTAGTGTGGTGTGACGTGGTGTGGTGTAGTGTAGTGGGGCATAGTGTGGTGTGGCGTGATGTCACTACATTACACTTAATGTGATATGGCGTAATGTGGTGTAGTGTAATAGTTAAATGTCATAGTTTATTGGCATAGTTACCTGATGGCACTGCAGCTTGGTGCGGTTGAAGGAGTATGTGGCGAGCGCGGTGCCCTCGAAGCCGTACCGTATGTAGGAGAGGTAAGTGATCCAGCGCAGGTATACTGGAATGGCGTTGAAGGACACGAAGAAGCCACTGAACAACAGGAACGGCACCGACATCACAGGCGCGAGGAACACACCGTTCTGGAAACCGAATAATACTAGATTAATTTTAATTACCACACACACGTCAAAAAATGATGACAAAAATTGCAGCGATTGATAGCAATTTAATAAAACTCTTTAGTTTCTTAGATAAGTATTATTTTAGAAAATGATTTTACGAATCTAAAGCTTTTCTCTTGTGCAAATGTGTGATATATGATTGTTTGCTCTATTGCAAACTTAGTCCAAAATTGTTTATTTTTTATTTGCTAATAATTGTTTTTTTATTTCTTTGATTGTTTTGTTCCCTTTTTACCCACAATACTTTATAAAATGTGGTATAAAATGTATTATGTTTGCCTTCTAAATGTATTAAATGATTTTATTATAAATACCACACATAAGACAGGCGTGAAGTGGTAGCAATTCCACGTTTCATCTGATACGTGATCAGAGGAAAAATTTCCCTTTCTCTACTAATAATCTTTTTCCCTTCTCATCCTTTTCTTATATCTATCGTTATAAGAAAAGGATGGGAATACACAAGAAGTGGCCATATCCTCTTTACTGTATTGCATGTCTATGGACAGTGGTCGTCATTATGGCGGATAGATTTTGAAGTCATGCCAGTAAGCCAGTACCTGCACGTTCATGGCGGCGCCGACGACGAGGCCGACGCTCTGCGCTACAAAGGAGATGAGCAGACAGGAGGCGAGGAAGAGCGCGAACCGCGACCACTCCAGCGGCTGTGACGTCAGCAGGTATACTATCACCACGTAGATCACGCAGAATATCGCCTAAAAAACATATAATATAGCCATTATTTATTTATTTTTATAGGAATGCCAACAAAACGTTAAAAATGTGAACATAAACATGTTTCATTTATAGGCAAACACATCTATACTATTATAATAAAGCGTAAACACACACTTTGTTGCCTAAGATCTCAGCAATTACAGCATATTTGTGAATAATTCTTTTTTTAATAAAAAGCCCTACACTTATGTCACGCTTTAGGCTATATATTTTTACGCCATTAAACTTAGGAGGTAAATATTTGGGACAAAAATCCTTATGTGGAAATGGACCATAAACTACAAGGTGCTAACATCAAGGAAGCAAAGTTGTCATTTATGCATTTGAATTTTGACATTTGACAAATATAAACAATAAAATAAAGTGATTATAATTTTATGCGGATAAAACCGCACGGGAACAGCTAGTTTATAGATAAAACAAAGTCTTTAGTAACAATTCTAAATTGAATTAGAAAAAAATGAACAATAGTTATTTAAATGGTTTTAATGAAACATTTGTAGTTAATGTTCTAAGGAATAATGACGCAGTATCAGAAAAAATGTCGTTTTTCGGTAAACAATCAACAGTTTTCTTAAATTCACATGAAATATTATTAACTAGCAGTTCCCGTGCGGCTTCATCCGCATGAAATTATAAGAAAAATATTTTATTGTTTACATTTGTCAAATTATTAATAGCAAATGTCAAAATGACATGACATGACAAACCTTAGCAATCTATTTTCCTTGATGTTGGCAGCAACTTATGGTCTCTTTCCCACATTAGGGTTTTTATCCAAAATATTTACCCCCCCCAGTTTAATAGCGTGAAAAAAAAACAATTATTGAAGTAATAAAACTATACATTATTAAAAACAATGTAACTTAAGCCAGTATTCATTTACTAGTTAGAATTTCAAGGAGTTATACCAATGGCAACTTATTGAAATTGGTATAATCTCTTGGGTTGCCTGTAAGAGATTGCTTATAGCAATAAGGCCGCCCTTGCAAGTTTTTTGTATTAGCATAGTTTGAACATTTGTATTATAAGACGTGCATAAAGATTGAAATAAATAAATAATAAATAAATAAAGGTTTGCGTGAAAGGTGACATGATCAATAAGGGAGTGATGACTGAGAAGACGGATGATAGAATGCTTTGGAGGATGAAAACCCGGTGCGCTGACCCTACGGGAGTAGGATAAGGCAGGGGAAATGATGAAATAATAAATAAATAAAAGTGTACCTGGAAGGGTATGTCAGAGACGGTGATGGCGAGGTAGTAGGAGCGCAGCGAGTACCAGCGGTTGAAGTGCTCCTTCACCAGCACCGGCATCTCCAGGGGAACTGCAAACAAATAACAATAAGTCTTGCTTTCTTTCTTTCGATTTTTCATATTTCTTATTTATTACTACACTAGCTGTTACCCGCGACGTGGTATTAGAAAACGAACTATATAAATAAAAAATGCTACGTATCTCCCGGGAATCGAACATTTCTCGGTGATGAATGTTATTCCATATGTACTCCAGACTTTATTTATATCTGTGCCAAATTTCAATAAGATATGTTGAACCGTTGCTGAATGATCGAGTAAAAATTAAAAAAAAAACAAATTTATGAATCCCACGGGAACCGTAACTATTCCCGGGATAAAAGTAACCTATGTGTTCTTCCAGACTATTCTCTACATCTATACCAAATTCTATCGAAATCCGTTCAGCCGTTTAGGCTACAAACTCTAACAAACATCCATCCATCTAAACTTTCACATTTATAATATTAGTAAGATATAAAATAGACATAATTATATTGATTAAAATATCAAATTCACATTAGACAAATTTAAAAAAAAACTTTCTTCTGTAAGCAATATGGCTGTATAAAGTGACGAACAAGCAATAAAGTTTCAACTTACAGCTGAGGATGGTGATGGTCATGGAGGTGTACATGAGAAAGAGCATGTTGAAGAAGAGGAAGCCGAGGTTGGAGAGCACCTTGGAGCCGTCGTCGCCGATGTCGTAGTAGAGCGCGCCGATCAGGAACCCCACCAGGATGTGCGCGAACAGCCGAAGGTACATCAGCGTCTGTGACAACATAGTACTTAAGAAGGATGATTTGACGTTAACCTACGCCAAAAGAAAAAACTTTACGTAAAACTATAGGTATAATTTATTAGTTAACTATTATTTTACACTTGCTTCAACCAAAAGTATGTTTTCTTACAGATTATGTGCTCCATCTATGTCAAATTTCGTCGAGATAGGTTTAGTTATTAGGGCTACAAATTCTCTAAAATATCCATACATTAATCACATCATAATAATCATACTAATATTATAATTGCGAATGTTTAGATGGATGGATGTTTGCTAGAGTTTGTAGCCCAAACGGCTGAATAGATTTGGATAAAATTTGGTATAAACGTAGGGGATAATTTGGAAGAACACATAGGCTACACACTTTTGTTATTTTAATGCCACGCAGACTCGCGGATGTAAGCTAGTTTATAATATTAGTATGATAAATCTTTATATTAGAAAGGTAATTTGTGAATCTCACCCAATCCCTCCTGCTGAAGAGCAGCGTCCTCTTCAAGACGACCCAGAACTGCGTGAGCTCGGAAGTGGCGTAGCGGCGCGGGCAGCTCGCCGCCGCGCCCAGCAGCGCCTCCTCCGCGTTGTCCACCTTCTCCGTCTCCAGCTGCACCACGATAGGCTCTGCTGCTGGAATACATTCAAAACCACTGCTTAAACGACCAAAATAGAATAAGATTTTTATTAAAAATATTAGTAGATTTTTGTTAATTTACTAATATTTCCTTTAACCATTCCAACTAAGCTCTAGGCTTGTGTAAATGTTTCACGGCAAAAGTCGAATGGCGGGATTCGAACCCTTGACCGCAAGATCGGTATCCCGTACTCAAAACCATTAGGCTATTGGGGCTTATTTAATTGATTCTATCGTTGAAACTATAACACCATGTAAGTCACTTTTTGGCTATTGTGATGATATATGCTAGAGAATCGGTAGACGCATCGTTTATATTATTTATAAACATATAATAAAGTACACAAACACTGTATTAGTATATCTTAAGAAAATTATGCAGTTTTATTCTCTCTTCTGAAAAATTGATATTACATCCGTGGTATTAGAACTTAAACGACGATGTATTTTAGGGTCGGTTCAAAGATCGGAGTGCAACATAGATTTTTTTTATAGCAAATTAAATTGAATTTTATTGCATTGAAAATAGTTTTAATTATATTTTAGAAGCATTTTTGTAACAAAAGCAAGCGTTACATATTAAAAATAAACCATTTTTCAAATCAGATAAAACTTAATTTTATATAAAAATATGATCTACTCTACGCTCTGGTCTACCTGAAAGGATCTTTTGTTGTTTACCTGTGTATAATAAAATAAAAAAAGATATAAATAACATCAAAATAATCTAAACTAAAGGTTACGAATCATAATTAAATATTTAGCATATCTGCATTTAATTTCAAAATGTTATTTATACTATGTTTCTAAATTTCAATCAGATGTGAAACTAAGACACAAGAATTCATTAAATAAATTAAAATAGTGTTAAAAATCATTCCAAGAAACATTGAAAATCTATTAATAGACAAATTTCACAAATAAAATATTTTAAAACGTTCAATATGCAGACAAGCAATTTTAGACTACAAACCACAACCAATAAGTCACATTTTACTTTACTCAAATTCATTATAAAAATAGGTACAAGATTAAATTCATTTTAGCATCACTAAGAGCAATGACCTTAATGCATTTTGACCCTTATTGTGTGTCCAACAAAGTTGACATTTGATTGATGTAGAAATATTTAAAACAATGTATTGTCAAAATCTGAGAGAATGTTCTTTGTTATCTTGTCACAAAAGTATATTTTACCGTAATACATGATCCTATTTATCAATTTTGTAGAATATTTTTTAAAATTCATATTTAGATCGAAAAGCAGTCTTTTTTTATTAATATAATTTTATTATGATAATTTTTAGTTAGAGATGTCAATTTTAGATTTTCAAGCGTTTTTAATTTCTGAAATATTTACATTGGTGGCAGAATTCTAAACCGATTCTCAAACACTATACTATTCACATGTCAAAATTTTAATAGAACATAAGTCGTTTTAATATTTTGCCGTGAATTTGTGTTCTCACCTTTCCCTTTAGCAATTTCATTAGCAGCATATTGCAATAATCCGTTCTGCAGATTATTGGTTCCGTTCACCTCCTTATGTTCATCACTGAACTTCTCCTGGACTTGGGAGAGGTCGTTCTTATTCCATTGTCCCGCGGACCTCAAAGAAGACTCCATATCTTTCTTGTTATTGAAGTCGGGTAACTTAGCATCGGGGAAGGGTACGCCGTTTCTATAAATAAATACATTTTTAATATGGAAATTATACAACTTCAGTCGTGAAAATATTTATTTTAGCATGTTACGTCAATTTTAATAAGAATCGTGTATTAAAAACTGTTGGATAATTATTATTTTTATAAAAACTAAAAACAGAAACATTAAAATGTTTTAAATTAGTTATAATTCGTCTTAATTAATTAATACAACAAATATTTACATTTAAAAACTCGAATAATTCCTTACTTTTTTATTGACGTTGCCAAGGTTTTTATGAATACTAACGTAGTCAAACTAAATAAAAAATGGATACATTTTTAAAATTTAGAATCGTGATATTAGTATTTAGTTACTATTTACTTATTTATTTACTCTCTATTAATATAGACACTAATCTGAGAAACTAAACTAAGGGACCGATCCACTCAAAATATTGAAATAATTACAGAAGATTCGTTTCAGTATTTGGTTGTAAGTCAATTAACAAGTTTGAGTAACAAGCGTCAGAAAATTAGGAAGGTGGTCACCTGAGGTCTCTACAGTAAGTGTGTGTGTTTTGCATACCTAATATCGTGATTGCCGTTGTTTATAGCTCGCACCAGCTTGCCGGTGTGGTCGCCGTACTCGCCGCAAGACACCTCGATGATAAACGACGCCGGGTTGTGGTACGATGGACACTGCAGACCGAGACTGCCCAGCCACTCCACTACACAATAATGTACCAAAAACTATTAAACCTAAATTATATTAATAAAAAAGTTAAAGCAACTAAAGCCGTTTGGAAACAAAGCTACACAATTCTTCAATCTCATAGCGATTTACGCAACATGATATCGTAGTCGGCGACGCGTAACTATGAAAACATCTATTGCGAAAGCGCTTAGACTAAAATCGCAGATTTGCGTAGTCTTGTGTACAAAGGTCCTAAAATACCAAGATTAATTGTAATCAATATAGATATTGTTTGCTTTAAATGTCTAACTTTACAAATTCCATATAGATACTCAAGATTCTGTAGTCAAAATAAGTAAACGTCGTTTACCACGACATAGAAAATATTATTTTGAAAAACAAACGAATACTTGATATTTATTACATTTTATAATTGAGATAACTCACCCAGTCTCCCCGTGCTGCCCTGGTAGACACATTGTCCATCAGCTAGCGTGTACAAATGATCAAACATTTCAAAAAGACGAGCCGAGGGCTGATGAATAGTGCAGATGATCGTCCGTCCCCCTCTCGCTAATGTCTTCAGCAACGAGATACATTGGAAGCAGGAGGAACTGTCCAGTCCCGAGGTGGGCTCGTCGAAGAACATAATAGGAGGGTTGTTAACCAACTCCAAGGCTATTGACAAACGCTTCTTCTGACCTCCTGAGAGATTTGACGTCATAGTCTTGTGATGCTCCGAGAGACCGAGCGTCTCCAGGATTTCTCGGATCTGGAAGACAATAGTAGAGTTACAATCTATTGTTTCTTCTACTAGGTTGTTTCTGGTATCCTGGTACTCACCACTTCATCCTTATCAGTCCTGGTAGTGGCACTAGGCAGCTTGAGTGCGGTGGCCACCGACATAGCCTCCTCTACTGTCAGGTTACCGTGTAGCTGGTTGTCCTGCATGATATAGCACGACAGCTTACGAAAGCTGGATAGATTGCGCTCCATACCGTTCACAGTGATACTGCCCTCCATTCCTGATGTCCTGGTAGAATATGAAACATAAGATATTTACAGTGTTAGTTTTTACCAAAACAAAAAAACTGCAAGGGCAATGGCTTTAATTTCAGGTCAAAGTAAGAATTCGACCTTACTGTTTGACTCTTGTTTGAGATACAAAAAAATGTGATTTATTTATAATTCATGCTTCAAAGATGTAAGTACAATATAATGAAGTAACTGGTAGCATTCGAAACGTGCTGCCATTAAGCCCGACCAAAGTTCATTATCTCCAGGTAGTATGCCAAAATCAATTATAAAGGTCGTTGTAGGTTAAACTTTAAGGTAAACTATCATTTTCTTGTTGTCGAAGTGAGAAAACGGAAATGGCCGGCGAGGTGAAAACAATTACATTCAACGAAATGCCGAGGTAAACTGCGGGAAATTAATCCATTAAGCAGAATTAACTTAAAAACCAAATACCACAAAATGGAATTCCTACAGTGCAGTACTACTTTATGATAATAATACAGAAATAATAATAAGTAAACGTCAGGATTATAATTATGTGGTCATATTCGATAGTACAGTCAGCGTCATAAATATGTATACAGTAACAAAATTCAAGAAACGTATACGGTTTGGGTTTTCAAAAATCTCTGTGCGAGTATCCGTTCGTATGCTTCTGACCATGAATACATATTATTAACAGACAAAAGCATGCATATTTATGACACTGAAAATCAATACTCTAGGTATTATTAGTTTAAGTTTGTGAATATTTACAAAGCTGACTGTACATACGAAACGATTATTTCAATTAATTTTGGCATTATGCTGTTATTGTACTCACCGATGCGGAAAGCTATTCTTTTTTTTAATAAAATTGCGTTATTATCTGGCAGGAGGAAGGAAGCCTAAATACCATCTATTGTATTGTAAAAATGACTGTCTTAATCATCAAGTAATAATGCATAAATTACGTAAATAACATTTTAAAATTATTCGAAAAAAACTGTATTATGCCTTCGACTTTGTCCACGTGAAATTAAAAAAAAGTAACAGCCTAGAGCCCTTACATTTTGTTCCACATCTGTGTCAAATTTTATCTAGATCTGTGATCCGTTCTAAGTATTACTAAAGGCTTTATCTTAAAACCAAACTATTATTAAAATTATCGCGATCACGTAGCTCGTTACTCGCATGAGACGTTCGCAAATTTATATCTTGTCTTTATATGATAATTATAATTCTGTACCAAGGTCGCGGAACAGGTAAGCAACCGGCAATCTTAATGTCCTGCTCTTATATGGAAAAATATAACAAGTATGCCAACATTAAGCAAGGAAATAAACGATACATGTAAACTCTAATATTTCTCATGAATATTCATGATTTAAATTCACAGATAAATAAAAGATTTTGTTAATAATATATTCCAATTGCATTTATAACTTTGGATGTAGGAAAAGTCTAGAATGCTAACATAATTTAAAGATAACGAAATTTGTATTCGAACGGGCCAACACTTTTGACTAAACTATCGCACAATAGTTGTACGATTGTCAATTGTTTCGCAGCTAATTCAACGTTTGTCAATTGTTTTGCAGCCACTTCAAATATTTAGTTGCACAATTTAAAAGTCGAGTAGTGTGCTCACCTTCATTTAGCTCAAAGGAATCAAAGCAAGATGAAACATTTGAGCGATAGTTATGTCATAGGTGTGCGCGCTGAATGTAACGTATACCAACAAATCTGGTACCCATTTTGTCCACGATATTACAAATGAGTTTTTGTAATTGTCATGCAAATTATTAGTGATAGCCCTCTGAACCCATTATACGTCACAAGTCCAACAATAATGTTAAAAATTTAAATATGTAGTGAAAAATTGCCAAAAGTCCTAATGCAATTAAAAGTTTCAAATAAAACAAAGAACATTATAATTGTGTTTTTCGTGTATTTTGATAGAAAAGGTATAATCACGAGAAATATTACAATACTTCCTTGGTATTATTGCCCAAACATATAAACCAGTTCGAGAACTACGTCAGACTACCGGGTTGCCTAATTAATATATTTATGTTATTTATTATAATGTGTTGATTCATCGCCATTAAAACTATATCAAGTAAAATATATAAAAAGCGGTCTTTGGTTAGTAGATGAGTCGGTTGCACGAACGGAGATTCTACTGTGAATGTTTTTTTTTATATAGGGGAAATCTTTAAAAGATAACTTGCTTTAGGAGAAAGATAGGGTTATTTGAGTACTCACTAATATCTTCGATTATAATTAGAGTATCCCAGGATCTCAAGAGGAACTTTTTACAGTAACTTGTATGACCCAAGAGAGACTATACTACACGAGAACTCCTCTCGTGTAGTACAGTCGGGGAATCTGGTGTTTCTCCTTAGTATTTTTGTAAGTGGACATCGCGATTTTCCGCGACTGTACCTATTAAAGAACTACGTGACGCCAGAATTCGTCGAGACTGGGAATTTTCTACGAACGTCTACACGCAACAACAGTTATTGCGGGGATCAACAAGTATCGTCTATCATAGCTTAGAAATACTCAGAAATACAAAATAAAGGTGAAAATTACAATATAATAAAAGAACTTTCTTAGACAATGGTCTTTGTTACTTATTAGTCATCAACACATGTCGAAGCGCAAGTTTGTACTGTACAGCACTTACGCAAGTATAAAATACAGTTTACAAACGTGTGTACTGATTCTTTGTTTATTTGAATACTAGCCGTCGCTTGCTGCTTCGTTTACGTGAAATTAAAAAACATAGCCTATGTTACTCAATAATAACATAGCTTTTTAATGGTGCAAGAATTTTTAAAATCGTCCCAGTTGTTTTTGAGTTATTTCAATACATACAAAAGTACAAATATTTCCTCTTTATAATATTAGTATATTCGTAGATATAGGATTATCAGGAAATTATTTAACCAAAGAAGATGTTTGAGTTGTCAAAGAGAGATGAACGTGCCAGAATCGTGCCAAATGAGGTCCGTAATCCGTCGTACCGTGTACCCGTCGTAACTGTCAGTGCTGTGAATATTTATGTGTTTAAAAAAATAATACTTTACAACTTGAAATAACGCGACAATACACTGTGAGGTCAATGAACTTTTAAAATCGAGTCGGTCCATTACATATCTCGTACCAATACCAACAAAAACAAAACCTCATTTGAGGTTACCTGCACAAGTCATGTTGCGAAGCATACTAAGATGTCGACGTGCGGTTTCGCAAGTGCCGTATGCAAATCCGACTATAAACTGTACGTAAGCGATCTGTGCACGCGCTCGTACGTGTGAGCAAATCGTATTTGATTAAAGAGGTCTTTCCTGTCTAACACGATGCTCTATAACTATGCTCGGTTCACTTTGATCTTTTGTACTTGATAAAGACCATTGGACTTCAACCTACAAGTCATATAAGTCCAAATATGCGGCAAGACACTGAAGTTAAAAGTATCACAGGCAATGGCTTTAGATTCCAAAATCAACTCCGTATATCAAATGAAATACAAAGGACATTCACCTGATACTGGGAATTTTAAAATACAAAACTCGTTCTCTAAAACACATAATTTTATCAACCCAACCACAACAGAGGTATAAAATAATTATAACACTAATTTGAAGTATTGTCCAGGACGTTTTGTAGAATTAAAAAAAAATAGTCTTAGTATTATTCCTGATCTATTCATCAATCAATAGATATCTTCTGTCCATCCATCCTAAACTTTCGCTTACTCTTAGTTAGCAGTATTATCCATAACTAGCTGTTCCCGTGCGGCTTCATCCGCATGAAATTATGAAAAATTATTTTATTGTTTACATTTGTCAAATTACCAATAGCAAATGTCAAAATGTCATGACATGACAAACCTTAGCAAACTTTCTTTCTTGATGTTTGCAGCAAACTTATGGTCTCTTTCCCACATTAGGGTTTTTATCCCAAACATTTACCCTCTAAGTTTAATGGCGTGAAAATATATAGCCTAAAGCATGACATAAGTGTAGGACTGTTTATTAAAAAAAGAATTATTAAAAAATATGCTGTAATTTCTGATATCTTAGGCAACAAAGAAGTGTGTGTTTACGTTTTATTATAATAGTATAGATATTAAACATTCATACATATATAGACGGTTTAACAAATTGACTACGATATATCATATGTTTACATCGACTAGACAGCTAGGTAGTGAGCAATAACGTGCAATCAAACCGGATCCTAGCCTTATCAGAAGACATAGTAGGTCACGAGGTCGTGGAGCGCCTTTGACGTATCGACAGACCTGTGCATTGCATTACATGGTAGGACAACTTATATTTATTGAAACCTTACAAAAACGTGTCCAACAAGGCTTTTAAAACGGCATCCTTAATACGAATGAATTTATTTATATTAAAAATCAAATTTTTAACGAAGAAAAATACAAATATAAGCAGTGGATTGCTAACTACAGGCGTTTCGTAACTGTTTTGCGAAGCCAACAAGCTTAGATACAACATTTTCTATTTCCCAATTCAGCAAATGTATCGCGAACAACTAATACCTACGTCTTATAGTTTTTATTTTAAATATATACGAAAAGACGGCGTATACGCAATTATTAGCGTAACAGGACGGAGGAATCCATTGTTTGCAAATTCTTCGCTCTGTCGGTTTGAGAGCTGTAAAGGAAACTGCTGGCAAACAATACCCTCCTGGAATAATTCACATAATAATTGTAAACCATGTGTGATTAATGTTTACTATAGAGGTGTCTTAGTAATAGTTGGTGAAATGTAAACATAGCCCTGTAGATATACAAGATTTATTCTGATAAGAAAGAACATATTGCTGTCTCAGGTTTTACAAAGAGAATGTGAGGGATGGCATTAATATTGTACTTTGTACTTATAAAGAGGAAAAAATTGTATTTTTATATGTAATAACTCAAAAACTACTGGGTAATTTTCAAGTACTTTAACCGTTACAAAGGTAATTTATCTGTGAGTAACAGGCTATATTTTTTTTTTAATTTAACGCGGACGAAGTCGCGAGCTACAGCTAGTGTTGTATAAGTAACAGTGGAAACTTATGGTTATATTGAATAACAGATAAAACTGAACTAAAACATGACGAAAACAAATACGTTTAGAATCATCGAGAAACTATATGCAAACCGTATTGAGTCCTACGGAAAGTAGGTCTAACTGTAGTACGTAAACAATATTGCAAAACATATACGGTAATTAGACGTGTAGTTATCAATCATGAATGTTATATAACAATAACCAATTTAAGTAACTTTGAATGCAAAGTATAGTATAGCCTAGACTGCACACATGTAGCAAGTAATTAAGAAGTCTGATAAAACCTAGAAAAAACAATACACAAAAATTTTGAAGGTCACATTGAAGTTACAAATCGTTTCTATTAAAAATAATCATAACATAAGTACAATATGTAACTGTAAAGCAATCAAGGTAAAAAAATGACAAAATAACCCACTTTATGATGGCCTCATCTTCTCTTTTAGAGAAAGTTTAAAAATACGGTAGTCACTTTAACGAGAGGTGCTATTCTAACAAAACATCCTTCAAATGTGAGTTACAAACCTTATTATTTTTTTGTAGATTTTAAAGGTGATCAAAAAATATTGTTAAAATATATATCTTCGCGGTTATATTCACTTAGTAGGGAATCGTCACTTAATAAAAGATAATTACTCAGCTTAAATTAACGAATAACAAAATAACGAAATGCATGAAAATACAAAAAATGTAATGCTGTATTTCATGATTAAAGTGGAAATAAAGCTGACGGGCAAAAATACACAATTAATTTACTAACGATGAAATAAATAACAATTACGACCATAGCATTGGAATTTCAAAGTTATAATAAAAATAATGATAGCTGACCAAGTACCAGGCAATCATAAATTCTAAGGATGTACTAACTTGTATCCAGTGAGTATATTGAGGAGCGTCGACTTGCCGGCGCCGGACGGGCCCATGATGGCCGTCAGCTCGCCGGACCGCAGCCGGCCCGACACCGACTTCAGGATTATTTTCTCATCTGTAAACATTTTTGATACTTACTTCCAATAATATCATCTTTGTCATACGCTTTGAAAAAATAGAGATAAAACTATTTTAACATATGTTTAGGAAGCGAAAAAAAGAACAGTCATTCTATTAGCAAGTTACTTGTACAAGTATGTAAACACTTGACTAAAAAGGTCATGGTCTGACTACCCTATTTGTCAGGCACATTGCGTTAATGAATTGCGCATATAAGTACGATTACTCAAGGACTTAAGACTACTTCTGTACCAAAAGAAAACAAATATGAAGTGACTCTAAAACAGCGTAATCAAAAATCGCCCATCATATCTTAATAACAAAGTTGATTTCATCTTGTGTGGTGTGCTTATATTGAAATGGGCATATATTGATAAAATGTCGTGCATTCATATTTCTGTTACAATAATAATCGAACGGGAAAACCCTCAAGCAACTCATTCTAGTATTCTCCCACGCAAAAACAAATTAGTACAATCGCGGACATCCGTGGAGTTCGACCAGCCAAAATGGCTTGTTCCTTGCAACGAGACTGCCTCCTACAAATAAAGAATTCGTTAGCATAGTGTTGTGCATATAACGGCGTAATAAAAAGCAATTAGCTGACTTTATTCCGTAGCGACATTTAAAACCTGCGTCCTATTGGTAATTACTATACGTTGTCCTCACAATGCGTACAAGACGTTCAAAGTGAACCACCAAATTCCCAGACTGTATCTACATCAGGAAACTATGTCAAACCGATTTAAATTTTTTCTTGACATGTATGACAACAAAAGTGTTTAATATTGTCACATGAAATGTATATCTAAATATGTTACCGTAAACTTGGGACATGGAACAAGACATAAGACAACTATTTCTCCATCAATGTGTTTTAATTTAATGCGATTTTCTTCGCTTTGGCTACATTTGTTACGCTTATTCTATCATAAACTATTTTTTACATATTAAAGTTAACAATAGATAATTAAAACAAGATGGATGTATTGTAAATGTGGCAATGAATCAAAATGTACAGAGGTTTGTGCTATCGTCGCTGACTGTTGGTTCATAGGTCAAATTCCACTTCCCGTTGTGCGTGCAACGATAATATACAATGCGCTGCTCTAACGCTAACACAAACTGTTGTTCAACACTGTTAGGTATTGTGTAATTTTCTCATTCTCTTTGGATAAAGAGAGACATGTTTTCTATACGTATAATAAAATTGGACTGTCTGTTTGTAATATCAAAAGAAAAATACCAGATTTCGGGAAGATGAAGTATTTGCGTTGTTGATAACGAAAATCGCATTTAAATTTTATTTTCGTCTGTCTGTCTGACTGTCTGTAGGCATTTCAATCGGACTTTCACTGAAGGGTAGCTTACATAGACGGCATTATAGGCTAATTTTTACCTTAATATTGCGTGGATGAAGTCGCGGGCAACAGCTAGTAGTGAATGAAAGTATTTTGAGTGAAATTCCAAAGAGGTATGGGTACATTTAAAATCGGTAGAACTTGAAGAAATACAGGCTAAATTCGACCGATGGTGTAAACCCACCGATACACCTCACACCGGACGTTTGTATTTTTATTTAGAGTGGGCGTACACCTTTGACAACACAATCGCACAACCGTTGTGCGAGTGTCGATTTCGCAGCCAATCAACTGTTTAGTTGCAACTAAAAATCAAGTAGTGTGCGCACCTCCGTAGAAGCTCATAGGAGTTAAAGCAAAACTAAACAATTATGAGATAATGCAAAGATGCGCTCTTAAAGTGATCAAATATAAATGTAATTAAAAATAATAAGCTGGTCAATAAAAAACTATTTGTACATTACAGTAGAGGGCGCCTCTAACTTCAAACGATCATTAACCACTAAATCCATCAAACATTAACATAATCCAACAGTATAATTAGGACAGGAGGAAAACGATAAAACAATAAGATATTCACAATGAATAACGCAGTCGTCCTTGCCTTCAGCTGTTGTGACGACAGACGCGATAAGATAGGAAGCGACGGATTCTGCGTAAACAATGCTAAAGAATATACACCAAAAACTGATAAATGTATTCACACTATCAACTATAGGCTATGTCAGGAACATTTAAAGGGGGGTAACTGGACAAACTCCCTCCCCTCTTATGTTTATATAAGGGTAACTTTGAACCATGAACTATTTTATATCCTTGTTGCTAAGTGCCGTATAATAGGGTACAATTAAAGTCTATAAAATTTCCGGTTAACACTAACTTTATGTAAAGTTTAACCACAAAAACAGTGGAAAGGTTGTTTAAAGACCTTTACCCTTGTAAGTACGGAAATCACCGCGAAGTTAAGTTTTTCAGATAAAAAGGAATATTCATATTAACAGCCGTACTTAGTTAACTGCCCTATAACTACTTAACGACTGTTATTACGGCAATTCATGTTAAGGCATTTATATCTCTACTTATTTATTATAGAGGAAAATTATCGTTATTTCAACCAGTTTTATCGATAGGTTATTAATAGAACAGTTATTAAACAAAAACAATAGCTACATCATCATCTTCCCAACCTTATCCTACTGCTGTAGGGTCGGCATACCGGGTTTTCATCCTCCAAATAACTCTATCATCTCAGTCATCACTCACTTCTTGATATGTCACCTTTCATGCAATCCATCCATCTATCTCTAGGTCTACCTCTACCGCTGTACCCCGTATTTATAACTAACCCCTACGCCCTTATAAACGTATATTATTCGTCTACTATACATTTTTAACGAATTGTCAAAGTAATCCTCAAGTATTGATTGATTTGCATTTCATCAGCCGTCACCCGCAAGCTATGTTGATTACAGCCGGTCGCGACCTTACACTATCTACGAGTATGTTCCGCCTCGTAAGCCCTGCTTGATAATTGCACTGATAACGGTTAATACTATCATTAATTCACACATGTTTTACTTTAGATTGAGTTATAAATATTTTTGTACGACCTTAGAGCCTTAGGCATTATCCTCTTCAGTTAAGAACGGGTTTCTACTAACAAAACACATATAAAAACCATTTTTCCGTTTTATTATCTATAGTAAAGATTAGTATTTTTGTATGTAACGAGTAAAATCAACAACTAGTGGACCGATTTCAATACTTCTTTACCCAGAAGAAAACTATAATATAGCCTATGTTAGGGTAATGCCCTTCAGTAACATAGGCCAGATTTATTACTGTTTTTTTAATTGTGGACGAAGGCGTCTGCTAAAGCTAGTCTTTGGTAATAACACAAACAGCGATATGGTTTAAACAAGTATTTTTAGTGGAAATTGAGTTTTAGGTTCACATAATGCCATGTAACATCAATCTTTCTAGTTATTATACTAATCAGAATTAACTTGATTTTCAAGGCAACAGTGCCGTAATTATTAATTTTATCAATTGATAAGAAACGGTAGCCGTTATCTAAGGTATAAGCAAGAAAGTAAATCAGATATATTAAAAATTTCTGCATATGAGATATATGAAAGAAAAAGAAAAGAATTTTAATCTAAGAACGAGAAATACAAACAAATAACATAAAGTTTTTATTAATTGAATTCAAAAACAAACTAAAATAATAGTGTCAACTCTTTATTACAACAAACATAGTTATTTTATCAACACAATTATCGTATTAATCAATTAACCTGAACTAGTTGAGTTGAGAAAAACGTGTGAAATATTATTTCAAACGCTATTAATATCGAGACAAACTTATACGGAGTTGCAGGTGTATTGCAAATAACGATAAGCGGTCAACTTCCTTTCGTAATCAATAAAATATTTGCGATGAGCACACAAACTAAAATTCCATACAATAAATAACTGTCATCTTACATATAAATTGCCTCTTCTTATTTTGTTTAAAGACTATGCCCTTGTCGGTGGAGACACCTCCAGTTCCTATCTTGTATTTTAACTTCTTAATACGACACGATGACCACTGTTACTTATTGGAGATATCTTTGTCTTAGTCTTTCCCTATTTCGTTTCCCTTCTATTTATCTTTCTATTATAATGGTCATAAGGTCATCGTTTATCATCAGACGATTATTTTTTGAGATCCAAAAGAAATACGTATCAAAATATAATATAAATGCGAAAGTTTTGATGAATAGATATTTGTTAGAGTCTGTAGCCTGTACTGTTCAACGGAGCCCAATGAAATATGGCGTAAATGTAGAGTATAGTTTGGAAGGTCATATAGGCTACTTGCGTTTATTTTTTTAAATTAGAGTCACGGGCAAAAGCTAGTAAATATAACTTATCCAGATAATCGAGTTTCTACTGTATTCCGTATATATTACTATAAAGTACTAATAAAATATCAAGCGTCATTTAATTAAGCGGAAATCTTTTAATTGATTACTTATTAGAGCACTAGTTAACAATTAGAATACGTTTATAACGTAGACAAAACGTTTTGCAACATAATTGCAAAAGATTGCAAACAACATGCAATCGCACTCGGCCATGTCTTGTTATTAGAGCCACGGGCAATTAACTGAAAAGCAAAGGACGGAACACTACCTCAACACGTGTACCTAGACTTTTTTACTGGTAACAAAACTCATTAATTTAAATAATATAATTATGTATTCATTAGAGTAATAACTAGCATTATTATTTTTAATCATCAAAATATTATCTTGGGAATAACTATATTGTAACTAGATTTCGCACGCGACTCCGTCCACGTCTTTACTGTACCAAATTTCATCGAAATTCAGCAGTTTAGGCTACAAACTAACAATCTATCTGAACATTTGCATTTATAATATTAGTATCAAGGATGATTTTACTCTAATAATTATTAATTATTGATTTGATGTATTTATATTTATTAGTGTTCCCTCTATTACATTATCTGTTCTATATTATAAGCCTACATGTTCTTTCAGACTATACTCAACATCTGTGTTTAATTTTTTCAATACATGCTAAGCCGTTTTTGAGTTATATAATAACAATCATCCATACATCCATACTATCACATTCGTATGAAGTATGATAGATGTCATACTATTTTCTGTTCCTTCACAATCAATGTTCAAACCATTAACTGGAATGATTAAATAAATTGACTTTGAATTAAAAACAGTGACATGTATGTGTTCGAGGCAAAACAGATAAACACAGATAATATAAACAACGCCTTGACAGTTCTACCAACGATGCTAAGTTCTATAAAACACGATTGTAATAAATAATGTACTTCCCATCGTATATTTCTTTCATACTAGTTTGGTTTTTTCATATTCTCATCGGAATTATTCTTATTTCGAGTAAATTGTGAGATAAAATGAATTAGTAAATAGTTGTTTCGGAGCCTATTCAATGCAAGCTAACAATGAATTTCTGTAATATTAGTATAGCTAGCCCGCGACTTCGCATGGAATTAAAAAACCTAGTAAGTAGCCTGTATTCTTCCAGACTATGTTCTACATCTGTGTATAAAATAACCGTCAAAACTTTATAATATATAGTCATTTGATTAAGCAGATATTTTTCAAACTTCAGATTTCAATTGAGTTTGTTGTTTGTTTACGTAAAAATAACACAACAATACATTTAAACAACCAACTGTTTTAAAACGTTTTATATATGTGTGGTAACTGCAAAATACTTTGTATTAACACTAACTTGACTACAAATTAGTATGAAAAAATATTAGTACTAGCTTTCGCCCGCGACTCCGCCAGCGTGGAATTAAAAAAAAAACAAAAGAGTAGCCTATGTGTTCTTCCAGACTATCCTCTACGTCTATGCCAAATTTCATCGAGATTCAGCCGTTTAGGCTACAAACTCTAACAAACATCCATCCATCTAAACTTTCGCATTTAACATTAGTAAGATTATGTAGTAGGGGCTAAAAACGGCTACAAACTATACCAACATACTCATGGGATCAAGTTACTATAACTTCTTTCGCATATGTATCATATGGTCATTTTTATCATCTATGGCGATGAGGAATTTTAACTTCACGGTTACATAGATAATTAATAACGTTCTTGACCCAACAAATGTTTAACTGATAGTACATTAAAAACATTTAAACATACTAACGGTCGAATTCTGAAACGAATACTTCGCTTTAGATCAGACTAGTTGTTGCGCGTAACTTCGTCCGCCTGGTATTAGAAAACATACGAACTATATAAATAACAAAACTAAGTATCCCTCGGGAACCGGACATTTCTCGGGGATGGACCTTATCCCATGTGTACTCCAGACTTTGTTTTATATCTGTGCCAAATTTCAATATATTGAATCGTTGCTGAATAATCGTGTAAACATTAAAAAACTAAATTGATGAATCCCACGGGAACCGTAACTATTCCCGGGATAAAAAGTAGCCTATGTGTTCTTCCAGACTATCCTCTACATCTATACCAAATTTTATTGAAATCCGGTCAGCCGTTTAGGCTACAAACTAACAAACATCCATCCGTCCATCTAAAGTTTAGTGGAATTTGGAATTTAAACACCTTTTTATTTACGATGCTACGTAGTATGTGAAACAATCGACAATCGCCCAACCGTTGTGCGATTGTCGATTGTCGCAGCCAATTCAACTGGTTAGTTGCACAACTAAAAATCGAGTTGTGTGCGCAACTCCATAAGCTATTAGGAATCAAAGCGAGACGAAACAGTTGTGCGATAGTTTAGTCAGAGGTGTGTTCACATTCTAATAAAATCCTGGAATTGTACCTCTATCAAAATAATGTTTTTTCTATTCTCTTTAAAGATATTAGGGATGGCATATAAAAATAAATTTGTTATTTATTAGTATTCAAAGTGGATAAAAATGTTCGTTAAAAAATTCCGTCGTAATGGAAAAGGTTTAAGATCTCTTAAAGAAAAAATACAACAAAAACTAAATTGTTTGTTACGTGTTCTTACAAGAAATATTGTTCGCTATAAAGTTGAGTTTAGACCGCGGAAACATTTGCAGATAATACTGCTACATGGATTGCATTTTTACATAGAAGTGTTGGTCTTTAGTAACTAAATACATATTGTAATAAACTAATTTGTTAAACGTAATGATTAAAATGACACATTTAAAATAGAAATTGTAATTACCAAATAAACAGACAAAGATAATCAGATTGTTTTTATCTTTGTTTATCGGCTTAGCGACAGTTGATAAATGGATTAAAAATAAAACATTATTGTATATACTTACGTTTTACTTAAACAGGATAGACAGGAATAAAGAAAGAGAAGACAGGAATAAAGAAAAATATTCCAACATAGAGAAAATAATATCCTACATCTAAAAAAAACTAGATATTTTTGATTTATCCAAAAGGACAAAATACCGAACATTTTTATGTATAAAAATTTGACAATTTTTTTTTACAATTGTTAAAAACGAATCTACGAACTACAAATTGTAAGACTTACTTATATATCACTGAATCAGTCAAATCACGTATTTAAAATTCATTAACGTTCTAAATAAACTTTACAAATAATATTGATTAGTATGCACTGCTATAATTTACATACGTTTTATCGGCAAAAAACAACAATCATTCCGATGGAACTAGAATTCAAATATCACATTATACAGCGAAGTAATTAAGACATCGTTAAGAATGATCACTAATGTTTCTCGAGATTTTAACAAAGGCAATAACATCAAACAGGATGAGTTAAAATTACAAATATTCTTAAAATGTTCTTGATACTTACTGCTTTTTCTTCCTTCGTGCACCCTGTACGTAAGGTCTGTGAAAGCCAAATCGACTGGTGGTCGTTTCGGCAAATGCGTGAGGGTCTTATGCTGTGCTGGGGTAATGGTCACCTTGAGACTCCCCTTCCTGTCGGAGAGAATGGGTTTAGTATCCACTGGCCCAGCCAG